TCTTTTTCTTTCTCTCTTTTCCTTCTACTTTCTTGCTTCGTTTAGTAAGCGATAGATTATCAAACAACTAAATAACATAAAAATAATATTAAATAGTATACTTTGAAATAAAATTAACATTAACATAGGACTGAAGCAGACATCGACATAGTAAATATATAAAATAGGAAAGGAGAGAATAAGAAAATTTAAGGAATAAATTTAGAACTAGCTTATAGATTCATTTGTCTCGGAGACTAAGAACAATTTCGTTCGGTCACAGCCGCGCACATATTGGAATATGTTTATGTTATAGATATCATCGAGCGATAGTTGTCCCATGTACTGCGAACCAAACAAAGACCCGAAGAGGAAAATAATTTCCTTTCTTTCTTCTATTTTTCTTTTTAAATATTATTAAATAATTGCCATCATATTTCGCAAATAATTCTTCAAATATTATTGTCAAATCGCCTATCTTAATGAATATGCGCTTTAGAATCGTAAAAGGATCTATTCGTATTATTTAACTTTAACAATTTACTACGCCCGAATGAAATAGTTTTTTTAATATTCAAAATTTCCAAATTCTTATATTATACCAAAGGAAATCATTAACACAATTTCCATTTCTTAGTAAAACATAATTTTATTCATAAATCAGCCAACAACAAGACAACTGAATTACCAAACGCTACATATATGATTAAGTATAATTTTAATTACTAGATAATAACATTTTCATATTTTTTAACCAATAAATAATGAATAGTGAATTAGAAAAAGACGCTCAATTGACACCTATAGTGTCGGGCTTGGGTATAAAAAGGGCTCGGCCATTCGCGCGCAGTCAGTCTCTAGGCAGTCTCTTGTTAGCCTCCAATCAGCCATTAGACAGTCTTTCGCTGAGCCTCTTGTTAGCCGATTGCCAAAGGGTCTTCAGCCTGGAACGAAAAGGTAAAGATTATTGTTCTTGGGACTCCGTCTGCAAATGCTAAGACATTTGTTAAGATGTAAAATCCAAATCATTAAAAGTCGAACGAGCCTCTTTTCCTCATAATGATACTATAAAAAAATTATTTCTCAATACTTGAATAAGTATTGAGCCAGCTATTGACTACATTAAATTTAGTGTATGAATTTTAAAACTTAACAATATAGAGTCATTTTATAATGTGTGTGTGTGTGCGTGTGCGTGTGCGTGTGTGTGTGTGTGTGTGTGTGTACAGATTTCTTTACCTCTCTTCCCTCACTGATTATCATCTTCATTCTTTTTCCAGAACGCAGTGCTTGAACTACGAACACCGTTCTTCTTTTCTTTACCTTAAGAATATTGTGCTTGAACCACGAGCACCAAAAAGTTATTATAATCCAGGCACGCTCGACCTAGCTGTTTTCCAAACAGATCCATCAAAATCTTCGGTCCCGAGAATAAAATCTGAAATAAAGGGAAATATATTTGAAGTTACATTCAACACTAGCGAGAATATTATTATTTTTAAACCTAACAGTAACCCACCTCCAAAGGCAACAAATTCAAATAATAAAGATTTGGACAAGAATAGCGCTGACTCGAAGTAAACCAAACAAATCTAGACATTGCATGTTCTATGCTTGTCCAGGACGTAAGGCCCCTTGCACAATGCCAGGCAACAAGCAATAAGAATAAAAATAGACCAATCACAATCGACTATTACAAGAATAATCTATTGTGATTGGTCTATTTTAATTCTTATTGCCTGTTGCCTGGCATTGTGTAAGGGGCTTAACAGAAAGATCACCTCGTGAAAAATGCTGGAACTAAAGCCAGCGGCACACGTGCTTGTTTTTGTGCTGGATTGCTTGCTGGATGAAAATACTGTGTTCTGATTGGTACATTTCCATCCATCTTCGGAAATGTACCAATCAGAACGCAGTATTTTCATCCAGCAAGCAATCCAGCACGAAACAAGCCTTTGACTATATAACTATGGACTGCTAGCAGCTTACTTTTCCACGCAATAAGTGTCTACAAACATCTGCAGCGCCGCCAGTACCAAACACGGCAAATGATGGAACTCGTTGAGCATAACGAATGATAACGAAGTAGACGTATCTAGTAGCTATATATTATACCATATGAGATATATAATAACACGGCAATTACAAACAAGAAAATAATAAATAAAAATGAAATACTGTGTTGTCCATTGGTGCAATAATTCTATTCATAAAGAGAAAAAGACAGGAAAGCATGTGGCTTTATTTGCGTAAGTCTCTCTCATGTTACATTACAACAATAACTTATTAAATGGTTAATTTTTAAATAAAGTAAGAAAGCAGTGTCGTATAATATGTGTATACATATAAACACATGAGATTGCAATAATAATACGGCAATTAAAAGTAATGTTTGTACAATTTCATGTGTTTAGACATGTATGAGAATATCATATGAAACAAATATATTACTAAAATAGTTTAAATCTTTATTAATATTTTTAGATTTCCAAAAAATCTGGAACATCGTACAAAATGGGTGAAAGCATTGAAAAATGTGGCCATAAAAACAAATAGCACTGTATGTCAAGAACATTTTAATGAAACCTGTATGTACAAAACTGGATTGTCATCATTACGCTTGTACGAAGGATCTGTACCATCTATATTTCCACATGTTTCTAATTTAAGGTAATGTTACTAAAATTGTTAATACATTTAAACTATAATAATACCACTTTCATACAAACTTTATACAAATAAAAAAAAAATTGTTAATAGCATAACAGAAAGTATACACTGTAACGAAAACAATAATGCATCTTCTGAAGTATTGATGGAAGATGAATCAACAATTGGTTCTCATCAAGGACAAATACAAGATGATATGACATATTCAACAAAAACCAATACTGTGGCGTCAAGTAATAAATGTTTAATAAGATATCCAGGAGATATTACAATCGAAAAAGTGGCAAACATGTCGTCAAGTAGTTTAAGGAAGTACGTTACTATATTAAGAAAGAAATATAATGCTCAACAGATTGCAATGAATCGTTTAAGATCTCAAGTATATAGTCAGAAGAAAACAATTGAGAGTTTAAAACAGTTGTTCACTGCTCTAAGAAAAAATAATCTTATTTCCTCTAATGCTGAACAAGTATTACAGGTAATTAAAACAGATACTCCTTCACCTACATATACTTGAATCGTATTGTAAAACCCTTTATAGGCTGAAATACATAAATGGCCAAAATAGGTATTTGAAAATACAAAATGCAAAATAGGTATTTTACAAATGCTTTTCCAAAATTATGTATTTTATATATATATATTTGTCGAACATTAAAATCAAGTTTCTACAGAGAATTATAAAAAAAATATAAATGATAAGATGAATATTCTACAAACCAAAAGCAAAACGGGTTTCTTAGGACTGATTAATAATATGGAAAGTTTCGAAAATATCTATAGAGAATATGTTGAAAAAAATAAAATGAATTACATAATGACTTATAAATTTTCGCAAGACAACTTGGAAATTTTATTTTCTTGTATTCGATCCATGGGGGGATTTAATAATAATCCGAATGCTATACAATTCATCGCAGCTTTTAAGCGACTACTCCATCATAATGAATTGAAATCTTCTGCAGCAGCCAATTGCATTGCACAAGACACAACAAATATACTTACAATATCATCACGAAAATCTGTAGCACATTCAAATGTTGCTAATATTAATGATGTTTGTGATAGTGATGAAGAAGAAAATTTAATGATATCTGATTCTATTAATAATATTGAAGGCAAAGAACATGCTATCATTTATATGTCAGGCTTTGTCGAACGAAAATTATTTAAAAAGATTACTTGCGAAACATGCCTTTATCTTTTTAACGAATGTACAGTTATGAAGTCTACATTCATAGAAAGAAAAAGCTGTGGATATTTACATTATCCACGAGAAGATACATATAAACTCATTGTTGTCGCTGATAAAGTTTTTAATTTTTATAAATTACAGAATAATTTGTATAAGAAAAATGCATGCCAAGAAATAATTATAAAAACAATACGTAATATTGATATGGATAAGGTATTAATAAATTTTAACAACCACGTTAATGAGTTAGACGTTTTCGAAAATCACAAATATTATTTAATTAAATTAATTATAGAATGTTATATACAGATTCTTATGAATTATGAAGGGAAATTAATGAGCCAAAATATTGAGTACATCAGACATCAGTTTACAAAAATTATTTTATTCAAAGGTCAGTAATATCTTAACAAATATGGAAAATGTAACGTTTTTTTTTACATTAATAACAAAGTTCTATTTTTATTTATGTTATGTTTAACATATATATGTTATGTGATGCTATGTTTAACATATATATTTTTATTTTTATTTATATATAAATACTAATTGTTATTGTATAAAAAAGATTTTCATAACATAAACTATATAACTAATGTAATTTTTATTATATACAGCATATTTTGTGTTCTTTATATTTTCCTTTCCTTATAAATTCATGATCGCAAATAATATCTTTTTAATGGTAAAACAGGAATGAAAAGTGCGATGATAGTTCTAATAATGGCCGTGTTTGGTACTGGCGGCGCTGCAGATGTTCATAGATGCCCAAAGTCATTACTAGCAGTCCATAGTTATATAGTCAAAGGAAACAAGCACCGTGTGCCGCTGGCTTAAGCAACTGTTGAATAATTCGTCAACGTTATTAGTCTGAATATAAGGATCTAATAGTAAGGACCAATAGTCACTGATCACTCACTGAGCGGTTTTCTCCGCTGAACGCACCCGTTGAGGAATTATTCAACAGTTGCTCTCAACCGTTGAGTGTCGTGAACACACCCATAGTATCATTAAAATCGTTTACAAAGCGCTGAGTTCTGCTGAATGCAGCCATTGTGCGTGTGGCACGTGTGCTGCATGGATTGGCTGTATAAACATTGATGTATTCTTTCCGTAGCTAATATAATTTTTAACAAAGTTATTACAAAGGTAAGTGGACATTCTCGGTGATCATGTCATTTTGAGGTTATTTAGTATAGCTTCGTTTATACCGCGAAATATTATCTGTCGATCATTAAATACGACATATGCAAATCTTATCCGAATTCTTATCGCCCAATTGATCTACCGCGACTGACATGCATATTGTACGGTAATCAACCGCAAGTTTTTAGTGAAGACTTGACATATGAAATCTTACTGATAAAACATTTTCCGCGAAACGTATCTTCGCCGTGTTTCGCCGAAATCTGTCACTTTGACAGTTTTAAGAAGTAAAAAATGTAAGAAACATAATATTGCTGATGACGTTACACTCAATAATGATTTTTACTTTGTGTGTGTTATAGATGGGGATGCTTATATTTTTTTATACATTACTGTTGTGTTCCACACAACTTGGAGCAGATAAGAAGATTAACAAATATGTAACAACATTAATAAATGCCAAATGGAACGAGACACCTTTAGTTCTCGAGGCAGCGGAATATTTCAGTGATGAAAATCCAAGTTACTTTTGGAAGTTTGTTGATGCATTTTCTAAAAAGACTAATAATCTTGTAACAGGCAAGTATTTAGATCTAATTTAATAATTACATCAATATCACTATTTTGTCTCACTATATATATAATATCCCAAGCAGCTACAGAAAAAGAAAGTTATGATATAATTCTGGAGCTGGCGAAAAATTACCTATCCGAGTCAGAGATAGCAGTGTTTAAGCTAGGATTGTCTTTACGTATTTATTCTGCACGTGTTGAAATGTTCTCTCAAATGGCTGTGAATAAAAACATTTCTTCATATTCATGCAACAATGTTGTTGACATTGGTGGAACATTTACATGTTCTTTAGAAGATATAGATAAGTTACTTGATTCATCTCAGTTTACTGAGCAGGTTTGTAATTCATATAATTTCTATTAATGCAAAATATACAATATTCATATATCAGTCATTGTATTATTTATTTTTTAGGATATATGGGAAACTACAGACACCTATGATGTAGATCATCGTTATTTGAATACATTAGAGACTAATAAAACTATAATATTATATGGTCAGATTGGAACTCCTACATTTATTGATTTTCATGAGAAACTCAAAAATATTGCTGAAACAAAAGGGATTAATTATATCCTTCGTCATTATGTAAAGGTAACAACTTATGCATTATATAAAAGCAATTAAATATATTATTGATATTGGAGAATCTTTAGCATTAGTATTATTTTACAGGAAAGGGCAGATAAGAAATTGCATTTATCAGGCTATGGTGTAGAACTACAGATGAAATCTACAGAGTATAAAGCAACTGATGATTCAGATATCAAGGACAATACAGGCAAGAGCTCAGAAGTGATGAACGATGGTGTGGAGGAAATCGAGGGAATCAACTTTATGACTTTAAAGTAAGGTGGTTATTGAAAATGTGAGGTATTTGATTTGCTTCTTTTGCATGTTACTCTTTGAGTTGTATTATTAAAATATAATATATCTATCTTTTTAGGAAGCTTTATCCGGATCAACATATTGAACTAGACAAGATACAGACGCACCTACTGGAAACCAGTCATGAGATAGGAGCCTTGAAAGTATGGCAGTTTCAGGAGCTGAGTCACCAGGCAGCTGAGAGAATAATGAAATCTCCTTCGACAGAATCACTGAATGTCCTAACTGATATATCACAGAATTTTCCTATGCAAGTATGTATTTAAAAGTACTTTCTAAACTGAATATGTACAAATATATATAGCGAAGTGTATATAGTAATTAATATATTTATTTCATGTTGTAGGCAAAATCACTAATCAGAACCAAAGTGAATAGTGACATGAAGAAGGAAATGAAATTAAATCAAGAAATATTCATGGCAAGCCTAAATATACAACCAACTGATACCGCCCTTTTTATCAATGGCTTATTCTTCGATCTGGAAGCTATTGATGTGCTGACTCTTTTGGAGTCTTTGAGGAGCGAGCTGCGAGTAATGGAGGCTCTTCATAAAATTGGTATGTTATAACTTACTGAAAATGAGATTTTATGTATTAATTATACATTATTTGTATAATAATATACTTTATATTTATACATCAAATTATATGTATTTGAAAATTAAATTTTTGTAAATTTAGGCTTTAATAATAAAAAGATGAGCAAATTGTTGGCTCTGGACTTATCTGGAGGCATGGATAGCCAGAACTTTGCAATGGACATCAGGGATTCTGCAATCAACTGGATCAACGATATCGAGAATGATTCACGCTATAGCAAGTGGCCGCCGTCGTTAACAGAATTGCTACGACCAACCTTCCCTGGCATGCTGAGGAATATCAGGAGAAACTTGTACAATCTGGTTAGTACAATGAACGTTATCGAACTTAAATTTAATCGATTTGATATTTTATGTATGTGAAACATAGAAAAGTTTCCAAAATACATGATATATCAGAATAAAAATATCAAAGACAAGTAAGAACTTTTACTTGTCTTTAATATTTTCATTTTAAATATCTTATGTGAGATACATTGTATAATGTTCTTTCTTCAGGTGCTAATCATCGATCCTTTGAACGAAGATTCTATGCCACTGGTAACTCTGGCGCAATCTCTCTATTCACATTCTGCACCACTCAGGGTTGGATTCGTCTTTGTGACAAACTACAGTACTACCGTGACGGGCTTAACGGACGCTAGTGTTGCGGTCAACAACGCGTATCACTATTTTGCAGACATGAAGAGTACTAAAGAGGCTGTGCACTTCTTAGCGGAGGTAACCACAGTTCATACGGTTAGATCTATTCGGTATCAATGTTAATAAAAAGTAAGAACATTATTTTCCATCTCAGTTAGGAAACTATATCGGTCCCTATGGCGTGGACGTGGAAGACGTCAAAAAGACCATCAAATCCAAAGATCCGTCGGCGAATATAAATTACATACTCGGCGAAGAGTCGGAATACGACGTGGGACGGCACCTAGCCAGCGACTTTATCAAACGATGTGGCTTCAAGAAGTTTCCACAAGCATTACTGAACGGTATACCCTTGACGCCCAGTCAGTTGAATTCTGAATCGTATGAGGAAGCTGTGCTGTCCACCATTATGTCGCAAACACCCGCCTTGCAGAAGGCTGTGTATCGCGGTGACGTGACAGAAGGAGATGATGTGATCGACTTTCTCATGAACCAGCCGAACGTCATGCCACGGTACGTAACTCTTCGAATTACCAGATGGTAAATTTTCTGATCCGATATACTAATTTTGCTCTTCCTCTTTTCTCTTAGATTGAACGAACGTATCTTGAAAGTGGACAAACACGCGTGGCTGAATCTGATCGGCACGATTCCTGAAGATGAGGATTATATCAAGTGGAGTCATCAAGATTTATCGACTTACTTAATGAAGAAAATGTACTACTCCTTCGTACCACGTCGCAGTAACACGCATCATATGTATTCCTTCTGGGTTGTGGCAGATCTGAAGTCATTACTTGGCCGGCAATTATTACGAGAAGCGTTTATATACATAGTAAGTAATTGGAAGACAAAATTAACTTATATACATCAACATTAATAAAACACATTAAATTATCGTATTTCTCACAGGAATCGAATACTGATGCGCGAATCAGTGTTATTATTAACGCGAAGGATGACTGGAATCTGAAATCTGACATTAACAAGATTGTCCTCGCCGCGTTAAATGCATTGTCGCCGGAAAGGGCTATACTTTATATACGTAAGGTTATTAAAGAGGAAAATGCAGCTCTCATCGCTAACGGCAACTTTGAGATCGAGGTAACACGCGTGTTTGGTTGGTATTATGCTACCGTGGATCGTCTCATTCGTGCATCTCATGTTACTGCAGGATGACGCAGTTGCGGCATTATTGGAGAGTCAAACCTCGATACTACAGTTGCACGAACATTATGTAAAAAATGTCCTAAATCTGGAGTTAGGAGCAAGAGCGATTTTATGCAACGGCCGCATCATCGGTTCTCTGGACGATGACGAAGAGTTCACAAACGAGGATTTTTCTTTGTTAGAAAGATTCAGCCAAACCACTTACGGAGCTAAGTTATTTATGAGGCTGTTAAAGGACCAATTCTTTAACGATGATGAATACGGTATTACGATAGCTTATTTAGATGAAACAGATCTGCCTCCGATGTCTCTACACTAAAAATAAAACTAACGAGATGTTGATGGTATTTTCCGCAGAAGAGAACGATGTCACGGATGATATGATTATGAAGATCGCGTCGCTGTTAGTGCCGCGACCGCAAACCCGAAACCGATTCGATGTTCCTTTCCACGGAGATGATCATAGGTGAGGCAACGTATGGTTTTTTACGTTATCTGTTACGTTTTTTATGTTATCTGTTTACGTGCATAAAATTTCTGATCGTTGCAATTGCAGGCAACTGATTGTTTTTACTTTTCAGTGTCATCAAAATTCCAGCGGCCAACGCTGACGAAGTTGCCTTCAATTTCATCGCCATTGTAGACCCAGTTTCACGCGGTGCCCAAAAATTGGGCCCAATATTAAAGACCCTCCAGCAAGCCTTAAACTGTAATATAAAGGTGTTCTTGAATTGCTTAGAGAAGAATAGCGACATGCCATTGAAAAGGTATGACAATATAAATTTTTATCGCGATTTCTTTGCCGATCCCCTTCATAATAAATTAAATAATAATTTTCCTATCCTATGTTCTTTAGTTTTTACCGATTCGTGCTGGAGCCTGAGCTGCAATTTACAGCAGAAGGAGATATCAGCGGTTCCCTCGCAAAGTTCACGAAGCTCCCCACTTCGTCCTTATTAACACAATATATCCACGCGCCCGAAAACTGGCTGGTAGAAGTAGTCCGTAGCGTTTATGACTTAGACAACATTAAACTGGACAACGTGGCAATCGGCGTGCACAGGTAGGGTCATCGAATCATTTGAATGATAAATTTATCGTTGTTACAAATTTCGCTAATTTTTACATGTATATGTCGTTTCACAGTGAATTCGAATTGGAATACTTACTGCTCGAGGGCCACTGCTTCGAAGCAGTAATGGGAAATCCACCGAGAGGCCTTCAGTTCACGTTGGGCATCGAAAGACAGCCGGTGATGGTCGATACTATTGTGATGGCTAACTTGGGCTACTTCCAACTGAAAGCGAATCCCGGTGAATGGCTGTTGCGTTTACGACAAGGAAGATCCGCGGAAATATATGATTTCACCACTGTCGACGGGCAAGACGTTATTCAGAATGGTAACAATGTGAAGGTCCTCATAAGTTCCTTGAGAAGCCATGTGTTAAAAATCAAAGTGTCCAAGAAGCCGGACAAAGCTGGCATGGACCTGCTGTCGGACAACGAAAAGGATTCCGGACTGTGGAACTCTATCTCTAGGTACGTCTACTCGATCGGGCTTCCGTGTTTTGTGATCGAGTCTCCCGGTGAAAATTCATTAATGCTGGGTGTTAGTACTTAACATGTGTAGCACGGTATTCCGTTACCTTCGAACTTAACTTTTATTTGTTCTCTCTTTTTTAGCATTGCCAAATTTTGGTAAGCTTCTCATTATTATGTAGTTAAGTACATCCATATATGTGTAATTAAATATCGGGAAAGAGATCCGGCGTAAAGACAAATGCAACAAAGACATATTTGTGGCTTGAACTTGTAATTGTCTCAGCATTATCATGCGATCTTCTTAGTACGTTGCCTTCTTGAAGCTTCTCGATTCTTGATGTTAGCTGCTTTACATCACACAAGTCACCGATATGTATTCTCGTTTGCAGCCTGTTGCCCTATTAACTAACTTAACATATCGCTGCTTCGATAATGTAGCTTATATTAATTGGAATCCTTTATCGGCTGACCGAAAATAGCTTAATCGCCGTTGATCTAAATGTCTGATATGTCTCGATGTACTTCCAAAACGTAGGACGTTCGCTACGACAGACGAAAGCGAGGACCAAGATGAGAAACTAAATATCTTCTCTCTCGCGTCAGGCCACTTGTACGAGAGATTCTTGAAAATTATGATGCTGAGTGTCATTAAGCACACTAAAACACCGGTGAAGTTCTGGTTTTTGAAAAATTATCTTTCGCCAACGTTAAAGGTAAGTAAGCTGTGCGTGATGTATAATAAAGAAAGTTTTCTATTCTACGAACATGAAGTCGTAGTTAATTAAGCGTTTTCTTTTTCACATTACAGGACTTTCTGCCACACATGGCCGAGGAATATGGTTTCGAGTATGAACTCGTTCAATACAAATGGCCTCGTTGGCTTCATCAACAGACAGAGAAACAGAGAACCATTTGGGGATATAAAATACTCTTCCTGGATGTATTATTCCCATTGAACGTGAAGAAAATAATATTCGTCGACGCTGATCAGGTAGATGACATATTTAAAAATCATTTAATATGCAAAAACAGCTTATAAACGTTGTCTCGTATGATAAAATATTTTACACGATTACTTTTTCATAGGTTGTAAGAGCAGACTTGAAGGAACTAGCAACGATGGATCTCGGCGGTGCGCCATATGCATATACACCATTCTGTGACAGTAGAACTGAAATGGATGGGTTCCGGTTTTGGAAGCAAGGATACTGGAGGAATCATCTGCAGGGTCGAGCCTACCACATCAGCGCGTTGTACGTGGTGGATCTCAAGCGATTCCGCCGTATCGCAGCGGGCGATCGGCTACGAGGGCAGTATCAAGCGTTAAGTCAAGATCCTAACAGCTTAGCGAATCTTGACCAGGTAGATAAAATTGTACATGATCTCTATATATATATATATATATATATATATATATATATATATATATATCTCTCTCTCTCTCTCTCTCTCTCTCTCTCTCTCTCTCTCTCTCAATATATATATGACACTTGTGAGGATACCGGCAAGATAATTTATTTTATATTAATTATCCGAATCGTCGCGTTTGTTCCGTATCTGTACACACAATCGATGACAATTTCAGGATCTGCCAAACAACATGATTCATCAAGTAGCCATCAAGACACTACCGCAGGAATGGCTTTGGTGTGAAACGTGGTGCGACAACGCGTCCAAGAGATACGCCAAAACCATAGATTTAGTACGTATTTTCATTTATATTGCAAGAGCGAACGCGTTACGGCGGCTCTTGACGTTTCATATATTGCGCTAAATAATATTTTACGTTTTTATTGTGACTGTTGTGATAAAGGAAAATATGTTATTTATTATTTCAGTGCAATAATCCGATGACTAAAGAAGCTAAGTTACAAGCGGCCATACGCATTTTGCCAGAATGGGTAGGCTACGACGAGGAGATCAAAACTTTGCAGCAAAAGGTGGAGAATGAGAGCAGACAGACGGAGAGGGATAGTGGTACGTCTTTCTTCTCTTCTCCTTTTTTTGCAGCATGTGACGCTTATATCTTTAAGTGGCTTCTTCTGATCGCTCTTTTTTACAGAAACAATCGAGGACGCTGCGAAGCATGAGGAACTGTAAATTTCATAAATTAACGTACATTTACGTACAATGATCCACGGGTTATTTCACAGAGCCGTAGGGTTACTGAAAGTTTTATAAAATTCTGTAAAAAGAGAATTGCATCTTCGCGAAAGATAGATTAATAATTAAGTGTCAGCGCGTCACGACGCTGCGTATATCGACAGCGGTATCTCACTTTTCTAATTGACGCCTGCCACGACTTTACGTTACGTGTAAATACTTGCCACCATCGGTGCTCGTGTAAAATTCCCAAAAAAAACAATGATATATTGGAAGCCGAAGATTTTCGTTGATTATCTGTTATCACTAAATCCACTCTTCGTATACTTACTATGAAAGCGGAAATTTACAAGAGATCTCGTCATTTTACATAATTAGATAATTATATAGTGAATGAGAGACTATTTCTTTAGATCAGGTCGAAGCGAAAGGTCGGTGAAGTATAATGGCCGACTATCGCTGAGAGTACAGTATTCAGTAAATGAATAACAATGTTATTCATGGACAACCGCCCCTGTTTATGTTGCTAAACCAATTGTGATTTATTATTGTCTACTATATACGATAGCTACTAAGGAATAAACTTGTAACATTTTTTAAGATATCTTCGGCATTCCCCTTTAGATTGTAGTGCTACTTATTGTAGAGACAGACAGGAAAGGAACATGTAGTTACCCGAGACCGACACGGCCGGCCTTTCGTTTGATAGATATGACGTTGCAATACAAATACATTTATTCGTATACCACACAGCGAACGCAATACCAGAGTAAATACCAATGACCAGAGTAGGATATCCGATTTCATTGTTAGTAATGAGTTTTTGTAACATCGTACACTTGGCTCGCCACGGTTCATTAGACGCGGTAATGCCGACCGTGTCTTTTATGAGAATTTACTTTGGCCACGGCGACCGAGCGAATCAGAGCGGAGCGAGCGAAGAAATTCGACAGACATTCCCGCGGCAGTCGGAGGAAATCTTCCGATCTCAAACTTGACGGAAGCTCAAACGAGCAACCGTCCGACATAAATTTATCGCCACTTATACCGTATCGTTTCCGATCCTTTCGGTCCGAGAAACAAAATTCACCACGACGGGAAATATTCCCCGCTCAGTTTCGCCGATTCGCCGGCGGGAAGCGTCGTGAAAACCGCAGCAATCGGAACGTAGATTCTCAAGGCACATGCTTGAACAGTTCAAAATTGACCTCGCGTGCATGCATGAGATCACAAGCATCGCTTTTATCGGCGGCTCTTCGGAGAGAGCAACCGATATCGCGAGTCATCGTTTCATCGTGCACATTGCCGTCGATCCCCTTGCGCTCGTAATATTTATGTAAACACATTGGGAAAGTCGAGTGCCGCGCGTTCTCGTGCACGCACTAATGACATCTCGCATGACATCACGACGCATCGTAAACCGCGTGCGCGCTGTCACATATATTCGTCCTGCCCGGTCTCGCGCGACTCGGCTTCTGTTAATTGTCCGATGTTCGCACGCCGCGTCGTTTGCGCTCCTCCGAAGCCGGTGTTCGCGATTACTTTGCATGTTTGAGGTGATTTTCAAGGGCTACGCCTATATTTCCTATCCCTCGTCGGCCACCGAGCTGCATACACGCGAGTTGCGCGATTGATTAATGACTGAAAATCGCCTTGAACGTGTAATCCCGAGGACCTGGCATCTAGGCGGCAGTCTGGCCGGAAGTACACATGAGCATGGAGAATCACGTCGCCGTGGAAAGCGTCACGCGAGACGAAACCGACAGCACGTAAGTCCAGTACTCCCCGTTTCATCGACCTCCTCGTCGTAGAGTATAGTATGCTTCTGTTTGTAAATTTCTCTTACTCAAATTAGAACTCACGATGCGCGTATGCCGCGAATATAGTATACGTTATATAGTAGAGCGCTTTAGTGTGTTGCGTCCGTCGTGTCTGTCTCTAACAGCTGTGCGACAATGAGTATTTTCTTTATTCTTCAACGTATCTCGCAATGCGCAAAATTAATCTCGACCTGGATGCCTCGATAATTCGAATTGCAATTTCAAGCAAAATTTCCGCGCGTGTCATTTCCAGCGTTCGCCAAGTTCGGTGAGTCAAAAAGAATTACAGAATATCTGAGCTGAAGACTTCCGACTTGAAAGGCAGCTCAGGATACACTACTGAAAGTGCCGCAACAAAATTCAAACATACATTTCCCGTCTTTGCTCAATTACCTCTTATCTTTTTCAGACTAAAGAATATCGTTACAGAGATTACATATTTATAATAACCACGTAATTTCGAACTCCATTATATAAGTAGCTTATCGAGTATCGACCAAACACTCAAATATGGCAAAAGATAAGATACAATTTCCGCGCTGAGCTGGACTTGGTCAAAAATTCTCTAATGCGTGCGATAGATTCGCGCACGCTTTAATTAATCGAACGTCGGTTCTCAATGACAACATAATTTATTTCGACATTGAAAGCACGGAGAAGTGAAAAGGACGTAAAAATCATGAATTGCGCGCCGAACTGTTCGCGTCAGGGACACTGATTTTTGTCAATTATACACGTGTGTTACTACACGAGATAATATTGTCACGTTTATTTTTCGATGAACGAACGAAGGCCGCTCGTCAATCCTTATACAGTTCTTTTTGTTTCTAATAGTTCGACACTTTGATTGCTGTTCCTCATGGCGCAAATTCTATCGTATCTGCCTAAACGTAAAAAAAAAAAAAAATAGGTCCGAGTATCCAATTGTATTACGCGAGACCCTACCCTCGATTGCGCGGCAAAAGGTCGTAAAAAAGTAACAAAACTTAGTCGCAACGCAAGGAGCTGGTAGTCTTCGCCCCAGCGCCGGGATGTCGACCGCTGCGAAAACAGACCTGCCGGTCATCATTGACGAGTAAATACTTGACCGATTCACGCTCGTTTCTGTCAACATCGATTAAACCTGTAATCCGAGTTCGATTTATTTTCTATACAGATAAAAACTTAAACTCGGATCACACGGTTTCATCGACGTCAGAGGCGGACATCAATCTTTTTCATATATTGCACGCATTTCGACTTTGAGCGAACTGTCGATGCCGATTCGACTTGATTTGCGCTTCATATTAAGTTCTGCGAACGATGATGTCGGTTGATTAACGTGCACATCGCATTCCGCAAATTGCTGCCTGCGCGCGTCTTTACGAACGAGTGGCGAAACGGTCACACAATTATGTCATTTTTCAACAAAAGCACGCAGAAGTAATAATGCAAATTTCCCGTAGTGCAACGACGAGCGCAACAGCCGCTGCGAATTGCAACAACTCCGAGCTTCCACGTAGCGATTTCCGCATTGCGTTATGTGTTGATTTTCGCGGCAACATCGTGTTTAAGCTACCGATAACGGGAGACCCAGTTTATTGTTGGAGATAATTTATAAGTGTCCTATGAGCTTAGCTTCGCTCGCGCATTGATTTTTCCGACATCTCGCGACGCACACGTGTTCGCGTGGGCGTGTTATGCGTGCGCGATCGCACGCATTATGATCGTCGTCGGTGCCTGAAAGGCATGTATCGCCTGAGACTACTCGTAATGTGTTTTTTATGTTCGTGTCGCACACTTTAACGTTAAGCGCGATTGCCTCACCCATGCATCACGTTTCGGACTAAAACGATAACACATCCGCGTCCCTCTTGACTTTGTGCAAAATATAAAACTATGTACTACCGAACGTATCGTCCAAAACACGTTCGTTAACTGTAGTGTTTATCTCGATGATATTGATCTCATTATCGTTTGTCCCTGCTTCGATTTTAACTTTCCTTCGGTTCTTTCTCCGTCTAAATTTTTCTCGCTCCAAACGTAATTATCGACAGATCGCGTAGAGAATTTGAGATTGTCTCGACTGATCGACTTTTTTTCGCGCATTCTTCTCGCATTAACAGTGGCATATTCCGCGAAGCTAATTATCGCGCACACGTGGCACGAAAAAAGATAAATAAACATTGAAAAGCATTTTCATTAATCAAGAGCGCTCGCACATGCAGATACTCACGCTTATTTGCACGTACGCAAATTCCCTGTTTACTACTTATGCTATCCTGTTTACTACTTATCGTATGGTTTTGCGCCATTTTTTTTTCTTATCGAAAGTAGTTGTTTCGATATTGTGTCACGGAGCTCGTCGGAACATATTTGTCAAACGACGAGATTCCGCGAGCTACCTTTTTGCTCGTCACTGTAGATGTTTGTACATGTATGTACATGTTTGCGACCGTAATTCTCCCCGACCAAGTTTAAAGCGTATAGAGTCGCAGGGAGAGATTCGCCGCTCATTCAAACTCGCCTCTCGAAAACTTCAATGGAATCGACATCGAATCGACCGTCGGTCGATTCGATAATTTCGATATCTATCGAAGTTTAATCATGGTCGTCGGCCGCGCCGAGTGAAAAACCTCCGTTACAAGATCCCCTTCCTCGCGAGCGATCGGCAATTTCGGTATCATCGTATTCGTGCTTCGCGTGTCACGTGTGTGCCTCAGCACCAGTGCCTTTCTACATGAAAGTCACGCGAACGCGCCGTGCCTCTCTCGTCTTGCGTTCTTCGTTCAGTCAGTACTCGCGACGGCGATCGGCTATTTGGGTCCGTGTGGACTTTCGCCGAGTGAGTCTCCGTCGCGCGCATAAAATTCAGCGAAATCCCGACTTTCCAGAGACTCATGGAGGTATCGCTGCGACAGCTCGTCGAGGGGCGCGCCGAACGTACCTGAGAGATCGCAATCGGAGGTGTGGCGATCCCGTGCGGAAGCGCCGATCGATCGATCGTCGATCTCGCGTCCGGCGCGAATGAGATCGAACGTTTCGCGGGGATCTCGAACGGCTCTGAAGTCTCTCTTTCTCTCTGGAGACTTACTTTGGAGCGGGAGTGATAAGGACGAGTATCGAAGGCCGCGCTAAAATTATTGCTGAAAAGACGTCGGTACGAGAAAGAGGGAGATATAGAGAGAGAGAGAGAGAGAGAGAGAGAGAGAGAGAGAGATAAGCGGACGATTCGTCGTCGTCGTGCGCGCGCCGATGAATACCCCGTATAATTCGCGCGATAGTTAAATCCGCTGCGGATCAGAGCGGATCCGATTTGCGAAAGCGTTCGTTGATATTCCAATGCTCAACACACAGAAGCACGCTGTCGCACGTCCCCAAAGTGCAGTACCGATAGATACACAGCGCGTTCCACTTAGAGTCTCGCCGCCATGATGCGTTGAAAATCCTCCGAGGCTCCGCGGAACGCGATACGGGAAAGCAGCGTCGTTTGAAACACAGCTCACTCGACCAGGCTCCATTAGACGTTTCAAAGCGTTCATAATGACGTCATTAAAATCCGTGCGTATAAAACTCCTCGAGGCGTATAAAGCGTCAGACGAGCCGTCGCTCATGTAACACTCTCGGAGCCCGAATTGCTCTCCCGCTGACAGTGTCTCTATCTCCATCCCAAATAAGTCGAGGGACAGGTTTACACCTCGAATTCCAAGTGTGGGAGGATCGAGAACTCGATTCGAACGAGACGCCACGGTATCTTCTGATATCTTCTCCGAGCGGAGATATACAGAAAAAGAAACTGGGAGAGCGGATAGAAAGGGAGCGAGGGCGACGTATCAGCTGGTGGGGGTTCGCGTGATAAGGACAGAGCAATCGAAAGAAAAGGCAGAGAATCGAGACAGAGAGAGAGAGAGAGAGAGAGGGGGGGAGAGAGAGAGAGAGAGAGAGAGAGAGAGAGAGAAGAGAAGAGAAAACGCAGGACGAGGAGGAGGAGAAAGCGAGAGTGAGAGGCTGCTGATCGAGTGTTAATCTATCTATCCGTTGAGCGACTGTGCCGAACGGAGAGAGAACATGGTCCCTCTTTCGCCGAAAGACGGAAGATACACTGTGATACGCTGCTAGCGACAACAGCAGCTTTTGTTTGTTGATTCAAAGAGAAAGAGAGAGAGAGAGAGAGAGAGAGAGAGAGAGAGAGAGAGAGAGAGAGCAAGACTTGTGCAGTTCGTTCTCTCGCCGGTCATCCGGGACGACAGAGCGCGACATTACGACTTTGCTGATTACAACTGCACGCAGCGCACCGCCTCTTCGGTGTCTCTCTCGCTCTCTCCACCCGCACCCTCGCCTCGCCGGAGGCGCTCTCGCAGTTTCTTTAGTCCTCTTTTCTGCCGGCTCTTGGCATTCGCGAACGATTCGACAAACGGAGGAAGGATCCGTGATTCCGAGAGAGAGAGAGAGAGAGAGAAGGAGAGACTGACGGCGTCGCGATCGACGGCCGATCGACTGCGCGTCTCGCCATCCGAGGACCATGGAAGACGAGAGGATCAAGCTGTGAGTTCTCTTGAATCATCATTATCATCATCATCATCGTCATCGTCATCGTCATCGTCATCATCACCATCACCGTCGTCGTTTACCTTGCCGTCGTCATTATCCTTGCCGTACGAGAGAGACAACGCGACAACGCACTCCGGAAAGGCAAGGAAATCGCGACGAACGACCGCGCGAGGAGTCTCGCGAGCTCGCGGGCTTTTACGGGGAGAAACGGGAGCGTGTTAATTAATCCCAAAGTGTTTCGATTATCTTTATTTCGAGGGTGTTTTCCTCGTATACGCGTGTGTGCTAACTTGATGTGCGGCGCGAGAACGAGGAGTAGAGCGACTTTTGCAGGATCAGCTGCAGGAGAACGATGACGGTGTTGCGTGTAAAAATTTGCGTGCGAAATCTGCGTGCAAAATCTGCGCCTGAAATCTGCGTATAGCTCAGTGACTGGTGAAATCGATTGCACAGTGTGTTCTTTCCTCCTCAGAGTTGCGATCTCGCGCGTTTCTCCGAACGACGCGCACTTCGTCGTAGTACGTGCTGTATCGCGTAACGCGGCCGTTCTCTCCTATCTTCCGTAAATTACATCAACGAGAGTTTTAAAGAACGCTCGTCTAATCTCGGTTAAATGGAATTCACGGGAGAGAACGATTCGCCAGGTAGGTTTGAAAAATTAAGAAAAAAAATTCCGCTCGTCAGCGGGTGATGGCTTCATAAAAAGTGTATAGCGTTTCCGTATGACGCTTCCCTCGCACCAGATGATTCATAGACGGGAAACATTTGACGGATAATTCTCTTATCTGTTATACTCGTCAACGCGAGTCTTCACGAGCGAGCATCGTGTGATTGATTGTTCCCGACTCTAGGAAGTTTAAAGCGAACTTCGGGTCCTCGTTTTCTTCGCTGTTTCGCCAGATGGGCGAGGTCTTCCTTGCGCGTTCTGGAATCCCGTTATAAACACGAAGATCCCGCTATCACTGTCGCAGGTCGTTAAATTTTTAAACCGTGTTTGCGCGATGATGTAAGAAAAGAATCAGAGAGGCGCGGACAGAGCTCGGTCGACGAGAAGAGAATCGTCTGACCACCTGTTGACGTTCGAAGCGTCGCCCGCACGTGCGCGCGCGCGCTTGAGGAAACTTCTCTCCCCCGAGTTTCTCTTTCTCCCTCGGATCCCTCGGATCCTTCGAGGACTCGACGAGCTCGAGTACCGGCTGGTTGATTGTCGAAATTACCGTACGGGCGGGATTACCATCGTCATGATACGCTCACAACTCCGCGAACAACAAGGCCACGCGCACGCCACGATTCCCTTCACTTTTGCCACGCGACAGGATCTCCGGCGTGCCGTGGCCGTCCGCGAGGACGTACGCGACCGGTCCCGAGAACAAAGTTAACAAAAAACACGGTTCTTTCCAGCGAGCCTGTCCGCCGTGTGTGCACTGATCGTGACAAGTGCGTGTCGCGTTAGTAGGAGAGAAAAAACCGGACTAACGAACCGACCAGATTTCTCCGACAGATTGTCCGTCGGTTCAGCGCGAGCCGCAGTCGGAAGTCAACCTCGATTCGCGACATGGTCGCGAATTCTTCGCACGCGAGACCTTACTCGGGAAATATGCCTTGAGGAGAGAATTTTCCTCGCGGAAAAATACGTATGATTAAGTCGAGATCGAATTCCGTGCGGCAAGTCCGCTTGTGCGTTCTTACTTCGTCCGAGCGATCATCTTCGCCGAAACGACTTCTTCGCTCCACTCCGTCGGTTTTCCCCGTTATTTGCGATAGATATCGTCGAACTTTGATAAAAGCGTGGTCAACGTCATTTGCAAATCGCCGTTATGACAAACTGTGCGATGATAAGAGGAGTGAATGCGCGCACGTGACTCGCGCTACTTTTTTTCGACGCGGCGTACTTCCCATGCGCTCGTACGTAAACGTATAACGAAACCGGTTTCGAGTGACCTGAAGGAATAGTAATCCTCAGCCAGGCCTTTGAAATGCTAACCCTGAAACACTTTCTAATACAGGATGTCCCTTTTCGGCCGCGTGTGCATATATCATCAGTCGGCGCGGAATAACAATAAAGCTACGTTTGAAGCTACGCTCGCGTACGCGTTAAACATAACGATGCGAAAGAGCGAAGAACAGTTTCGCACGCGCCGGCAAAAAGTTACGTCTCTCCTTCGCGAGACGTCAAATCGCTCGAGCGTTTCGTGATTCAGAATTCAGATTCAGAAGCGACAATTGGAAAGTTTCAGTCAACCAGCCGGTGTTGCATAACATTGTCCGGTTAGATCGACATGTGTTACATCTCGTGTTAACTCGCGGGTGTCAAGTGCGACGTTCGCGAAGCTGGTGTTTTTATAGCCGGTATAACATTACGTTTTATCGCGGGGGAGGAAGGACGTACGTGCGATCGAGCGATCCCGAAACAACCATAGGCGTCACAATGGGCGATGCGCGCACATGCTCCTTGAAGTATTAGGAACTTGTGAGACAATAGAAAAATCTAATCTGTATTTTGCTGTCACAGACAGTGCTCTCTCGTATGACGGGCATGTCTCGATCGACCTTTCGTCGCTTTTATGGTTGTCCAAGTCTAAATCAAACAAGAGATGAGGCACAAGCGACGATAATCTCGGCAGTAATTTTTTATCAAAAACGAGCGTTCGTAGAAATCATTTGCATCGAGATTATTGTTGTTGATTTCTCGCCTTCTTGGATTTCCCGGATTCCACGACAAGTATAAAGGATTTCTCATCGACGATAGATTGTTATCATTGGCGAGTCACTTTTTATAATGATTTCGAGATTTTCCGGCATCGGCATCGCGCGCTTTATTGACGCCCGTGAATCGCAATCCTCTGACGACGAGGCGAGGAACTGTTGTTCTCGCATTATCGCGATATAATTACGATTATAATACGAAAGAGACGTAGTGTCGGATAACGCGCGTGACGACCAAGTGATGAGCTGGCCGTCGTCGATTTAATCCGCCGATGCAGCTGATTATTCGGGAGTTCGCACCGATAATCCGGTCGGACCGTTCATCTGCTTCGCGAGATGCTTCCGCAGAATTTAATGTACGGTACGGACAATTAAACGACCTACTGACACGAGAAATATTCCATCGCTGCCGTCGACAGAATAAATCGACAGAACAACTTTACGACGAGCCGCCAGTCAATCTCGTGTAAAAGTGTCGAACTCGCTCGTTGATCGGTCAATTCCAAAATAATTCTTTTTCCATTTTTTAATCGGACCTTTGAATTTCCAGTTCATCCCGTTCATACTTTCGACCGTATCTTCGTGGAATTTTCATCAGGCTTACTCGGTCTCGAAATCGGCAACGCATCGCGCTCTCTCTCTCTCTCTTTCTGCTTTGGAAAATGACTCTATTTAAAAAAAAAACAAACGGCAATCAATCGGCAGAGCGAATTTCTGCAAAGTTTCCGCATCATTTCCCCATTAAGCGACGGGCGTAGGAAGAGGAAAAATAGATAAGTGGGAACATGCCGCATATCTTGCGCGAAGGGAAGTTCGCCGTGGCATATTATCATCAGTGATCCTCGCAATATAAATCAAATCCCATTTGAACGCATCCTCGCGTCCTCGGCAGCGACGCAAATTCAAACGTTGCCAGATCACCATTTGTCTTTTCCCGCAAAAACCATTTTTTTACATATTTATATGTAAGTGTCTTGACCAATCCCGTCGAAATGCTTTGCTCGATGATTCGCATTGTGTATTTCTGCGAACACAAATGAGACGAAGTATGTCGGTAACTAATTAAAAATCGCGCACTGCGCGAAGTATGATCGAATGATCGGCGAAGACATCGCGTCATGAATTGGCAATTTATCGTCCCTGACGACACCTTTCGTTCGTGTCCGATTTTGCACACGGCATCATTGACACCGTCATTCGTCATTCAGCCGGCTCAGCGACGAGGAGACGTAGAAGAACGTGCAGCAGATACCGTGCCTATAGCTGGTTGATAAATAATAGCGCCTCGTGGAAGGTGATAAGCGCTGGACACGTACCTGGACATAATGTCGCGTTAATGCCATGCTCGAACAATACGCATATTCTGCATTCCGAGCCTCGCTTGCTCAGTCAGACGTACGGCAAGGTAGAATTAGTTGCGTAATTAGGATGCGGTAAAACTGACGAGTCGACGCGCGTAAAAGCGCATTTGTTTCTCCGTCGCAGTTACAAGCGCTTCCTCTTTTCCTTGTCGAGCGAGCAGATTTGCAGAAACAGCGAATTGGTATCAATGAGAGGCGATGCCTGAAAAACCCGGTGAAAATCAAAGATCTCCGTGAGATTCCGATGAGGAGATTGACGCGGCCAAGGTCCAAGTCGAATTTTTACCGACTTTCTACAGCGTGTTGTACAGCAAGCGAGGTCCGATAAGTCATATGACCGTCGAATGTATTTCCAGTATTTGTGTCATAATTTTCTTATCACGCGTGATACGCAAGCTCGATTCTATCTTTGTACGAATCTTATCGCGGAGGTAGATGAGCAACAAAAATAACGTCTAAGATAACTCGACTCGGATTGACGTATTATTCGATATCGACAATTATACCATCGATAAATAAATAGCCACCGAAATTAATCGGTGACTAATTTCCTACCGAAGCGAGAAAAGGACAACTTACGGGAAAGCGAGCCTTCCGATTGGATTATTACGTTCTTTTTCCTCTTCGATTTCCGAATCACCGGTTGCGACCCGCACGTAATTATCTCGCGGGATACGCAATTGCTCTCTTCCGTTGCGCAACTTGGCATAAAAATGAAAAGCAGCCGACACGCATCATTGACGATCGTGGGGGATAAAACGACGATCCGAGGTGATAAATAAGGAGATCGCGGTCGGGAAAATCTCGCGGTTTTGCGACGAATTTACTTCTCGTTGTCGTAAAGACGAGCCGCCTTGTGCCGTCACCTTGCAATCGCGGGGAATAAAAATCGTGGATTTGTGACGGTTTGCAGATTCGCCGATAAGGCAAGTTATGGCTACGGGACGAGTATTCCTCCTTTGGGTAATGTCGAGGACGAGAATGAAAATGAAAACGACATGTCATCGCGGAAGGTGATCTTCTGCGTTCATGGAAAACTTTCAGGCTGCTGCACTGTGGTGAAAAGCTCCGCCAACGAGACCACCACGGAATATCAGAATCCACCAGGTATGATTCGTCTAAAGACGGCCCTTGATGACATGCATTTAAGGTAGAAAAATATTACAAAGATATCGAGACGATTTGACAAGAGATGTTCACGGAAAAATTTTTTCCACTTTGGAAGAAACTCAATATTGCCAAAATTCCATATTATCCAATATTGAAAACTTTGTTTGCTAAGAACGAAAGAAAAACATTCGATACAGAAATTTCTACACATATTTCTGTCGTGCCATCGTCTTTATACAGTCTGTTTAACAACAACGTGACTGGTATAATTTTCAAAATATTTATCACGTCAAAATGAACGAAGTGATCTGTCTAACGGTATCACGAAGACAATTTAAGGGAGAAATTACATGCGGAAGGCCGTTTTCAAGACTATTTTTACGAATTTTTTTAATAGAAACAGTAAGATCAATAGACTTGAAATTTTCACAATGTATTCATTAATGTTCAAAGTATAAAATAAGTTTTATTGAATCACAAGAACCGATCCAATTTGTAATTATAGGTAAAAATGCAGTCATCCGCGAGCTCTATATTTGCTGTCGACATAATTCCGGGCCTCTCACACTACTCTGAAACCAAAAGATGAGAAAGATTTTCAATATGTACGATTGCCATTATAGCTCATACTATGAAATGAAGGCAGTGGAGTTTGGAAAAATAATGACTGTACAAAAAGAGTATCGAAAATGAAATTTTTTTCAACTTGTAATTATGTTCAAAAAATTAATAAAATAAAATACAATTATATTTGAGGTAGGAGCGCGAAAACTACTTTTCTACTGTATATTGTGTAAAAATTTCAAGTAATTCGGTTCAATAATTTTTGTGAAATCGTGTCGACAGTTTAAAAAAATGGTGTTTCCAGATAAACGCGTTTGAAGTTTTATATGTACTTTCCATATAGATAGTAATAAATTTATTTTATACTTTGGACATTAATGAATACACTATGAAAATTTCAAGCCCATTGATTCCACCGCGTTTCTGTTAAAAAATAATTAAAAATAGCCTTGAAAACGGCCTGCTCCGCATGTAATTCCCCCCTTAAGTAGTTCTACCTGTGATCCCTTTCGTTCCAATAAACATCATTCGCTGCATTTTTCATCACAACTGATTCAATTTGCTGCGCTTTCAGTGCTGCTGGAGGACCATTGCCACAGGGAGAGGAATGAAGAGATTGACAAGAAGGCCCGAAAGAAGCTGTTGCTCGCCAGTACGCTCTGCGTCGTTTTCATGATAGCAGAAATCGTCGGTAATATAACGAAATTCCTGATGAGCTTATCAGTGTAAAATAACACTTTGTAGCGGCTATTTATACGGTGGCAGGCAATAACCGTGCGTGTATCCGCGTACTCATTTCTTTTTTCTCTTTTTTTCCGCTCTCCTCAGGCGGAGTATTATCGAATAGTTTGGCGATAGCGACCGACGCTGCACATTTGTTGACGGACTTCGCATCGTTCATGATATCCCTCTTTTCCATTTGGGTTGCGAGCAGACCGGCCACTAGAAAAATGCCTTTCGGCTGGTATCGAGCCGAAGTAAGTAATACCTCATATTTGATTGTCAATAACGAATTTATCAACATTGAATAAATTAGCCGAGCTACTTGATGTACTTGATGAGTGAAAGTAGTGAATTTAATTTGTCGTGCGCCAATTATAACAGATGTCACGATATATGAGTTACATGGAAAAGGAAATTAAAGAAAATTTCTCGTGTCTGAAAAATCGACGACAAAAAAATGTCTCGTAAATAAATGTGTCATAAAATAAAGAACGCTCATATTTTTCACGCATATGTTTCAGGTAATCGGCGCGCTGACGTCGGTTTTGTTAATATGGGTTGTCACTGGAATTCTATTCTATCTCGCGATCGAAAGAATCATCCACAAAGACTTTGAGCTTGATGCCACGGTGATGTTGATCACGTCTGCAGTTGGTGTTGCGGTAAATCTAGTGTTAGTGATACCATTAACGATAATATCTATTTAATGATCTGCGACCCGCGACGGCTCATGCATAATATTGTCGGCGATGCCATGCATGCGCGTTTGAGTTCGCGAAGTTTCGATAACGATCGAAATTATGACGTGAATAATGTATCGTCGGACGAATGTTCTCTCGTCGAACGAGCGCGAATGATGTCACTTTGAATTACGACGATACGAACGTGTCACTTTTAATGGAAGACGTTGAACACGTGAGAATAAATCGGATTATGCTGAAACGAACTGAAACAATCGTTCCAAAATACAAACACAAAGTGACACGTTGCATTAACTTCAGAAAAGCTCTCCCAAGCAGACGCGAGTTTCCTTCGCGAAGCAAACACGCGGCTCATGCAAAGCGAGAACGACGTATTTCTAAAAATGCGTGCGTAACAATTACAATCGAGAGATATACGAAATGAACAATTGTTACATTGCAGAATGGGATTATCGTTACATGAACATGGTCACAGTCACGGTGGACATAGTCATGGCGGTGAACATAGCCATATTGCGAACAAAGACACGGAAAGTGACCTGCCAGACGATCTGAAGGAAAAGAAGAGTAACATCAACGTGCGCGCGGCCTTTATTCATGTTTTAGGCGATTTTATTCAGAGTATAGGAGTATTCATTGCTGCGTTAGTTATTTACTTTAAGGTAAACTTTTACCAATAGCTTGGTAGTTTACTGCGTAAAGATCGGTCGATTTTTCGCGAAATAAAGTCTCGAAATATCGTGATGTTCAGCTTTGATGAAGGTGTTCGCACTTGCTAAACCAAACAGACATTTTTCTGTCAAGATGCAAACGCTTAAGAACTTCGCTTTTACATTTCAGCCAAGTTGGAGCATCGTAGATCCAATATGTACGTTCCTGTTCTCTATATTAGTTATCCTCACCACGGTGGCTATTATTAAGGATGTGATGAACGTCCTGATGGAAGGAATCCCCAAAGGCTTCGAGTATTCTCACGTGGAGAACACCTTCATGCAAATAGATGGTGTTGTTAAGGTGCACAACCTGAGAATCTGGGCGCTCTCGCTCGACAAGACCGCCTTGTCAGCACATCTTGCGATAAGTAAGCCCATCTATAAATATATGAATTACGATATACGTATGTCTTATTTAAAACTGTCTTTCGATTACGCAACTCGATCGCTCTGAAATAACGAACGCCGCTTGGAATACGCTAAAAGCCTTATATTTTGAGATCCTCAAGTCTGCGACTTTTTAACGTTTCACTTCGTCTTGAGCGGCCTTTTAACGTTTCACTTTATCTCGACTCTAGAATTTCCGACAAATTTTCCAAATCTCGTCGATGCACCTTTCAGAACCTGGGACAAGCCCACAGAATATCCTGCGCACCGCCACACGAAATATCCACGACAAGTACAAATTTTTCGAGATGACGCTACAGATAGAGGAATTCAACGAACGTATGGAGAACTGCAAGCAGTGCAAAGCCTTGTCGTAATGAGGTTCCCATTGTCGTACATCTATACGTCGTATGCGATATAAACAAACACATCGAAGATAAATTTAGATGTCTCGTGATCATCACGATGCTCCGCCGAATAAAGACGTCGATATATTTGTTTCACACGCGAAGACAGTGTAAATGTATTACAACTCTGTTGCAGCCTTTACTTCTTAATTTCTCTAAAAAAGAACGCGAGACACACGAACGATTGACCGTACCGCGGTATGGTTGCAGTGTGTATAGTCCCTTCTTTCGTTATTCAGTTTGTATAAATTATATAAATATAATTATCCATCTAAGTTATGTTAATAGTATAAATTCTGATGCTAGTTACTCGTTGCGACTTTGGAATCGTCTCCTTTCGATATTTTGCACTGGCATCTTGTATAATCATACAAGATGCAAGCATTGTGATCGATATTTATTTTAAAAGTGACTTATATTTTACAATAAAAGTTACCAAACTACCAGGATCGTCGTACCGAAAGCATTTGAGATACAAGATCCGTATTCAGGGTCTTGGATCTCACGAACGTGTGAACGACGCTAAGAGGCAAATAAATTAAAATAATATTTTTCCCAATGAACTCTCACCGAGACTAACTTTTATCGCTTCGACGTAAAAATAGAACAAGCTCGTGCTCGCAAATGCAACAGAAGCAAATGTTATCCTTTATATTTTGCACGGACGAGTGACGAATGAACAATCGCGCGCGCACACACACATACACACACACACATACACACGTCTGCAATCGTTCAATTTACAATGTTACACTCTCTCCAAAATGTTAGAACATTGATTATTACCACTTTTCATATCCCGAAGCTGCGATTCCATTGCTACTACAATCTCCTCAAGTCCGCTGATAACAATCGACTTCTCGATCGTCCCTCAGTATCGATTAATCGAGAGACGATCGCGCTTGATCCCTCATTTCAAACAATGCGGCGAATTTCAACCGGGAGTCTTCGAATCACGTGACCTCCGCAACGTGACTGTACGCATGCGCCATCTATCGTGTGGACGGCGCAGCGGCGGCGCCGCCGCTGCGACGTTTCAGTTCCACGGTTCCTCATATACACGAGTGCGACGGCGGACGGCTGATGGTGCGCAGTGACGGGCGGAACGAGACGTTGCGGAACGGTGCGGCGGAGTGGCGCGGCAACAGACATGCGGCGTAAAGCGGGACGAGGTGCGTCAGGGGCCGCTGGGCAGCCGCCTTCGCGCCGTTAACCCTCCCTGGTAAACGTCGACGTGCACGGCGACGACGACGACCAGCAAGTGCGTAGACGCGCGCTCGCAGCGATTCTACGATGTAGCCGTCGTGGTTCGTCTCTCTGCCTACTTATCTGTCTGTCTCTGTGTCTCTCTCTCTCTCTCTCTCTCTCTCTCTCTCTCTCTCTCTCTCTCTCTCTCTCTCTCTCTCTCTCTCTTTCTCTCTCTCTCTCTCTCTCTCTCTTTCTCTCTCTCTCTCTATCTCTATCTCTCTATTCTCTTATTCTTCGTCTGTCTATTTTTCTCTCTCTCCTTCTTTTTTCTCTATCTTTCTCTTTCTTTCCCTCTTCGCTGCCGTCTTCCTGGCCGGTACCGCGAACCGAGTGAGGACGAGCGGGTTGCAAGGACCGATCTCGCACGTGCGAGATCGCACGTCGTCGCGGCTGATCGGCTTAGCGCGCGCGGTCCCGGCGGATACCGGCCAACGCGGCCACGAAGATGGCCAGCTCGCCCACCAGTATCGAGAACCAGATCGACAGCTTCCTGGAGCAATTCAAGCGTAGCGCCTCCCGGGCGATGGAGGACACTGGCCAGCACCCGCCGCCACCAGTCCCGTCCGGCTACAACGCCTGCGGCAGTAGCAGCATCAGTCACAGTCGCAGCGGCAACCTGGATCTGGAGATGCTCGACGCAGGTGAGAATTTGTTTGTTCGATCGTACGTTCGTTCGAGAGAACGACCCGGGTGGCAAAGCCAGAAGGAAAGAGTGTGCGAGTGTGAAAGGGAGCGATAGGAGAAGAGAGAAAGAGAGAGAGAAAGAGAGAGAGAGAGCGAGCGAGAGGAGCGAGGGAGAGAGGGAGTGCGCCTCGCGGTCACTCGCCGACCCGCGGGGTTTTGAATTTCCTCGTCCTCTCTCTTCTCCGGTCATGACGAAAGTTCAGGTCGCGTGAGCAAGCTCGCTTCGGCAACCCGTCACCCTTCTCTGAGCGATAGTCGTTAGTCGCGGTAAGAAGATTTTCTCGAGTGAACCCGCTGGCCGAGTCGAGCCAGCGTTCCCGCTGGCAACCGGTTCCAAGAAGTAGAGGTTACCCGATCGCACCGTCGATTGCATATCGGCGAGGCACGCTTGGCCGCGTCGCCGCGCCGGCATCGAGAGAAGCTCTCGAGGAAGACTCGGTCGGCGTGAGGCGCGCAATTTGTATTTTGCGTCACTCCTCCAGAACGAGCGGAAAGTGCGAGTTACATGATAGCGACTCGCGCCGCGAGTCCGGCCAACACCGAACGCGTCCGGACGCGCGGTTTGAATTTGCGTCACTTGCTGCGGTTAGCCCTGCGCGAGGTGCAAGTGCAACTCGGTTGCGTCACATTCTGTCGAGTCGACGGACACGTCGGGCGTCGATCGAAGGGGCTTCGAGGAGATCTCGCGACCGTCGCGTCGCGAGAGAAACGAAGGTTCTGGTGATTAACATCGCGCGACCGCGCCGCGACATCAACGTCGTCGCCGTTGTCCACGTTGCGTCGGATGGATCTCGATGGTCCCGTGCGGTCCCTCTCACTCGATCACGAAGGTCTTAGACATCTATTACGGGGTTTGAATTTCCGGCGCCGCGTGCGCTTAATTGCGCAGCGCGCCGAGCTACATTGTTACACCGTTGGATCGGGTTATGAAATTGATCGAAGGGCTCCGCCGAGAAGATTCTCGCGCGATTCTCGATGCGCGGCTCGAGTTTCCGGTGCACACACGACACAACATGCCTGCACAGTGCGCGCGATTAAATCTGCACTCTACCAGCTTGCATTGTTGCATGTGTGTCGTGATATGCACCTTTTAAGAGAGCTGCGCCTGAGACCGGCGGCTCCGGAATTGCCTCGATTCCGCGTGCGGCGAAATTGCGGCTGTTCGCTCTTGCATTCGCAACCTTTTCGTGCCTATTTTCACGTGATGCGTTTGCGTTTTTGTGTTGATGTTAGGGAGTTTTTGCGACACTGTCTCTCGGAGTAAACGGTAAACATTGATCGTGAATGCCGCCGTGAATGATTCGCCGCGTCGCGTACATGGCGACATTATTCGTTAAACGCAAATAACGTTCACGATCAATGTTTACCATTTATTTGAGAGAGACGGTATATTGCAAAAACTCCTTATTTAAAGAGATATGTCGTGTATCACCGCATAATACACACACACACACATGTCAGAGCTGTGGATTTTTGAAGAGGCGGAAATGCGAAAATGCGGAAAATCGCGCGTAGCGGAATGTAAGAAACGTAATTGAGATGACAATTGCTCGGAATTGTTCTGCTTTTACTTTGTTTTCGTACTTTTTGAATTTGTGAAACACGACGGGCGTGTGCTCATTACTCGGGGCGGAAAGAGAAACAAGACAAAATATAGGACAACATGGCTGTCCTAAAACGAGATGGATTATTACAGGAAAAAATAGACAGTTCCGTGCTATACATCGCGTTGCGTCGCCGGGCTGTTGAACGGATCGAAGGGCTCCGAAGGTTTTCCGAGAGAGCTTCGCCCTTCCGAGAGCGGATTTAAATTTCAGCCGACGTGCGCGCCGGGGCATTCCCGTCCTAGTATGTTCCTGTAATTCGGCGCAATTGGCCATACTGGGTCAAAGAGCTCAAAGGGTTTCCAGTAGGGTTCGCCTCCGACGGGAATTTGATTTTCCGTTGCTACGAGCAATTCCTCGCCTCGCACGCTCTCCCGTCACTTCTCACGCAAAATGAAAATATTAGCTTTTTTATATCGATTCGTTAACGTGTGCGAGAGGGATCAAAGGGAAAGGGTTCCGCGCCTTCCTCACTCTCGAGGAACACGAAGGCTCCGCGAGCGACTTATCCATCTCAGACTTTCGTCCTGTCTTATTTTCACGTCGTATTCCATACAATTCCGCGTAAACATTATCACTATACTCTCTCTTTGTCCCTTCGTCCTTGATGCCGTCATTATTACGTTGTCCCTTGAAAGTGCCGCGATCACGCAAAACATCGGGGGGGATTTTTATACAGCGGATCGTGGACAAGGATTAGGGTGGATGAAACGTGTACGATGAGAGGATCACGTGACACATGTCGAGTGTGTGAATTCGTGCGCGACGTCCTTAGAGATACGGAATGGCCTTCCCGGCTATTTTTCGCGGCGCTCAAACTTTTATTATCATTTTCCCCGCGTCGAACTCCGCCGCCGCGCCGGTTTCTCTCATTTGCGCGGCTAAAGGTGTGCTTCTCGATTGAATCCTGATTTAAGTCCGACGACACCGCCGGCTGACGGCCGCGCTTCATTATTCGTCCGCCGACGTGTGACATGGAGTGGAGATGGTTTCGATTGATTAAAAGCTCGACGTGCTCACCGGGATGCGAGAGCGATCGCTCGACCACATCATATTCTGTTCGTGAAATCGCGTATGACGCGTATCGATTTTCGCGCGTTTACCTTTCGCGAGTCCTTTGATCCAAATGCCATTGACGAGGAGACACCCGAGTCAAAATCTTCGTTCTGCTTCAGCTCTGCAGATCTCGTCGAATTTCAAGTACCATTGTAGAATCTTCGGGTGTAATATACACGGCACTGTGCAAATTACTCATTTCTTCTGTGATTTAATGGACGCGATGAAAGCCGGTGCGATGTCTCCGTCGGATCCTGCGCTTTGAACATTCTTAGAAAATAGCTGGACGGAAGTCGAGTTTGAATCACTCACGTTAAATAACGATTGATTCGCGCTAATTTACCTATCGACTTTTCCATCGTCGATTATATTCCCGAGTTCCTTCCGCGTGTTTGCCTTTCATTTGCACATCCGACGATGAATTATGGATTGATTTGCGGAATTCACGCACGTTATTGATCCGTAAATAATAGAATCGACAGTTCTTTTATCCGCGCATCGACGTTGTGACAATTAGTGAGGCGTCGCATTACGCATTAATAATAATCCATCTCGATATGTCCCGCCGATATCCGCGCCCGCATTCCTCCTCGGAATGATTACATTTTCACCGGAGCCGATTACAGCTTTATCGGACGGCGATATAATCAGTTTACGAGTATTAATTCAGCGCTCTATTAAGCGTCCCTCGTCAATTTTTCCCGCCGCTTGCAAATTACCGCCGGGTCTTTGACGACGACGATGATAAATCAATTTTGCCGTCCGATAGAGTGAATAATCGGTTAACGTCATCTCGCGAAATATCTTCCGTCGCGTGACGTGAACCACGTTGTTCGTTCGTTCCGGGGCGACTTGTAAAATTAATTAACGTTCTATTCGGTGACGGCGCGGCGGTCGCGAGAACGTGGATTTCTTAATTCGTCCTTCAAATATATTCTGACCTCCGCGTTTTCATTCGCTGAATCGAAAATTATTATTCGCATAGATTGCATTTTGCTCGCCCGCACGATAAATAATTCTCATATCTAGTTTCCAGGTCGCGAGTTTGTGTTGTATATATATAAACTTTTCGCTCAGGTGAGAAATTATTTTCATATCTCAGGCTTTTTTCGCGTTCTTAATTTTACTCGTGATTTTCCCTTCTCTTGAATTCCAAGATACGCAAAGTGAATGTTCGAGGATACTAGAATATCTCATTAGCTCAAATTAATCCTCTTGCACCACGTAACGGCTTCCTCCATAGTTCTTACCGAGGTAGTTATGCATGTTTAAGCGTTTCGGAGGCGCAACCGCGACGGAAAGAAAGTTCGAAAGTAGAAGCGTTTCCCTCGCCACGGAAATTAATCATCGGCATCATTTTTCGCATGCTCCGTTTTCGAGGAACCGACCATGCGAAGTCGTCAGCAAAAAAAATCGCGCGATGCGTGTAAATGCAATCTTGAGATTTTGACAGCCACACGCCGCGAGTCACGTGTATCGTCCCCCCTCGCTGACTCGGCCCGCTCGCCATTGGTGCTTCTCTCTTGCACTCGCCCTCCACCGCCTGTCAGGGTTGTAACTATGATGGGTGCTTCACTCTTAAAATTCCCAACAGGAAAAATGCGAGATGTTTGTATTTGTAATATTGCCAAGTAATCTTCGCAGTCGCATATTTCATCGACAATGATTTGCTTCACGTCTCCTTTCCCCGGGAGAAAAATAAATTTCAACGATTATGTTTTGCTTACATTCAATCTCACTATCCGTTCTTTTCAGCTGAACAAGCTAAAATCTCTCTGCCTTAGCTTTTAAACTGCACAAGCCTAAAACTGCATTTTCTGCAGATAGAATGAAACGAGTTTTCCATTGGGTAACACGTCAACACAAACGACGAAATTCTATCTTTGTTCTAAATCCAATGATAGAGTAACAAATGATACTTGTGAAAAGAGCATTCTAAAAAAGCTTAAATAATCCCAATTAACAGACAATATTTTTTTAACGTTTTTTAAATATTTATTTTACATTTTTTCCACATTTCTTCCATAGTCATTCTACCAAAAATATTTATTTAACGTTTATTTACATTAATTCTTTATTTAAAATGATGTTTTAAAAGAAATATTTAACGTTTATTTAATATGTATTTAATATTTATTTTTCTGTAATAGAGCTCGTTTAAAATTATTTTTAACGTTTTAAAAATGTTTTTAAACGTTTTGTTAATATTTTTAAGAACATTTTTTAAATATTTTCTTCCTGATTGGGATATAGCGTTGAAAGGAAAAGGAACAAAGCTCCTAGTATAATACTGTCTGCACTGCAAAAAATGCACAAGAGTCTCGTTATCCTCGAGGCCCGAGTTGACCGCAATTACGAGCCTGCGTCGTCGGCGCGTCATGGCGCCGCGTTGCAGCTGCATCGCGACCGGACTGCGTCCGTCGAGCCGCGACGACTCCGCGCTTCGGAGCTTTTCGCCTTCGGCTGACCGTAAGTTCGCGATCTTTTCTACGGGTACGACGACGCCGGTCTCCGCCTCACTCTCTCCGCGAGGTCATCGTGCGAATACACCTGCGTATATCGGCCGGGAATCCGAGAACACCGTCACCCTCGCCACTTCCACGTCGTCGTTGCCGCTCCTGCCTGCTCCTGCCGCCGTCGCTACCTCCACCTCCACCTCCGTCGCCGCCGCCGACGCCGCCGCCGCCGCCGGCGGCGCGTACGATTCTATCGATCACACGGAGTGTCAACGGGTGTATGTGCGTACGATGCGCCGGAACGTCCGCTACCGACGACGTCGCCGCGTGTCGCCGAATTTTTTCGCGCGACGCCGGTGATCACCACGCCGCGACCGCTTCTCCGACTCGTTTCTTCGAGCAAACGTCACTCGCGATCGGCCGCGGTATATAAGGCACGTGCGCGGGCGGGCACAGGCCGACGACGCGGCTTTTTGTGCGACGGAGTAACTCGTCCAGTGAGAACGGCTTGAAGGAAGTCCGAGGTTGTAGTCGACGGAAATAGACGCGCGGAGTATCGCGCAAACGAGTCGCGAGGCGCAGTCATCGAACGCGCGCGCTCGGCCGCGACATCATCGTCGGCGACATCGCGACTCGGAGGATCATCGGGGAGAGACGGCGACGACGAGGACGACAACGACGGTGTGAGTGATCACGGGAAGGATTTGCAATGGCAGTAAAGCGATATCTGACCCGGCTCTCGCGGCTCGCGGGATCCCGTGGGAAAGCGTCGCGGAAGCGAATTTATGAGGCCTTAATAGTGTTAGGTGCACGCTAAAGATTATAATTAGCGGAAACACTTATTAACGATGATTCCCACGTATAGCACAACGGCCGTGTGTTGTTGCAAAGTTTCTTATGCAATGTATCGCCCGAGAGCGGCGCGCGGAAGACAGCAGCCAGACATTGACCCTGCGACAACGGTCGTCTTCCTTGAGGAAGAGAGAGAGAGAGAGAGATAGATAGATTCCCAGCGGAAGATCCCGACGTCTAGGGAGCGATTACTTGCCAAAAGTCCTTTACAAATTTGCGTTCCAATATTTATCTCGATCGCATGCAGGAATCCCGGAGCAATCGTGGGGTGTGTCGCAGCAGCCCCATCGCGGTTGAAGACCGGCGCGAGTCCTCCCGGCAATTATACCGTCGCGACGCGAAATTGTGAAACAGCCTATAGCCGGCGAACGCGCCTCTCAAGGTATTGACCACCGAATATTGTCTCGCGGCTATTAACACGATAGCTTATCAACGAGGCCGGTGTAGCGGCGTATATACGCACGGAGTGTGTATACCGGGTGGGCGGCAAGTCTCGAGACGCGGAAGTACGCGAGGCGAGGAGACCCGGAGAATGGGAACGCTCGGTAAATTTGTATGATTACTGTCGACCGTGGCGAATTATCCGCCGGAATATGTCCCCGCGACGTAAATCGCCCGGCAAATCTCCCGAGCGCGATAAAAGTTAACCGGCCGGAATCCCGCGGGTGATGCGATAAGAGTCACGCCGGCAAAATGTCGCGAGCGTGATAAGGGCTCCACCGCACGAATATACGCACAATAGCCGTGCATTTATCCAGCGCATTCGTGATATTTTACACTTTAAAGTTTCACCGCCGTTCTTTCATTAATCGCGGCCGATTTTAAGCTCGGTCTCCGCCGTCCCCTCCTCGCTCGTTCGCAGCGAATAATTATAGATTTTTTCGTCGCTGACGAGAAGTTTGTCCGACGTCGATCAGGGAGGATTAAGGATGCCAATTTTCGCCGGTGACACCGGGAATTGTCGACAATTATCATCAATTACCGATAAGCTTTCTCGTAGTTGAGAGTTGCCGGTGTGATTCATGCGACTTGAATTCGAAGTCGAATTTTCGAATCGATATTGCGCTATATATTTATCGAAAACTGCAGCCGGCCGGGAACGATTAATGTGCGGGCGTCCCCCGCTTCGCGACAGGGTTTTGCTGGACGTTGCTGCCGTGTACATCGGTATCGATCAAAAAGAACCCTCGTGCAACTTTGATGAGGCGCTCCCGCGCGCGCGTTGCAACGTGGCTGGTGCATCCCGTGGCGAACTGTCGAGCGTGAAGCGACGAGGCGCTGTGCACATTCGCCTCGTGTCGGTATACGGAGATGTAATTGACTGTAAATGGAGCGGCGAGATAAAGTACCCCATTGTCTCGTACCCATTGCCGGCCTCAGCGGCGCCGAGGAGAAATTTCGAATACGCTCTGCGGAATACGCATTAATAATATATCGCCGAATCAATGAAGATTAGAAGCGTATAATTAAACGTTTAAAAATAGAGTACAATTATCTACGCTTGTATATATCTCCATTTATCGAGAAAACGGAGATTAGTATCGGTCGTTATTGTTCTCGACGGATCGTCGCAAGATCCAAGTTGTCAAAATAGGCAATCGGTCGTGTTTTTTTTTTTTTCTGTGGAAGGAAAAATATCATTCGGCTAAATATATTTATTGTACGTACATTTATTGATAATTATTTACGGATTTGACTGTTATCGATCTGCCGTTCTCTGAGAGAAGGAAAATCTCCGAGCGAGGTTTTAATCTCTCAGGGATTTAAATCGCAGTCCGCGCCACATTCGAAGAGAATCACAGCGAGGACGTTCGCAACGTCGCTAAGTTTTGCGTATGACGACGCAGACCAAACAGAGAGGATAACAAGTGTGTGTCGTAACGCTAATTGACGATATAGTGAACTATACATTAGCTGACAATGTTCGGTATACAGGGTAAGTCGAAAGAATCGCTCAGTCACTGTTCGTCTAAAAAAAAGAGAGAAAGGGAACGAAACGAAAGAGAACGTTCGGGCCGAACGAGCTAAACGCTTTCCCAGGGATCCCCCCGCGGTTCCGCCAGATTTGAAGACGCCTGTAGAATCCTCAGCCTACTTGCATAGCGCTGGTCAGAATAACCGATATTATCGCGCAGCGTTTAATTACAATGACGGTAATAACTCGTCGAGCGAACCTCTGCTGCCGGCGAATTTCGTCTCGTCCGCCGCATCGCGAATGTCCGTCTCTTGCGATATTGTGCACCGATCCTCGTTGCACAACGTCGGCACAGCGATGTACAGGAAGCCTCGTTTCCTTTTATTCCTTAACAATTGCATCCGGATCGAAGTGCGATAAGGTATCGAGGTTTACGGTAACGTAACGTAAAATTGAAATAGCAGTATCTTATCCGACACTTCCGAGCGTACTTTTTCCAACATTGAGACTTGCGGATACCTTTAACACCGCGAGAAAAGTCGTCCACTCTTATCTTTGTCGAGGAAAGATTACTAGCATCCGAATAACCATCATGAAGAAAGGATCAATACCGCGACAACCTTATCATTTACACTATCAGGGGCTACGACTCCTCTCTATTTCTACTTTCTATGAAAAATAACATTACCACGAAATGTTATCGAACAATTTTCTCGGTACCCGCCTGTACATCGCATTCCGACGTTTCGCCTCGCGGTCTCGGCCGTGCACAATAGCGCTGCGACAGTTTTTCCGCCCGCGACGACAATGATGCACAACGGGGAAATTATTTAGGGACCGGCGAGTGTGCTGACGACAAGCGTGGAAGGGAGAAAAAGAGCTTCTCGGCCCCGCGGTGAAATGAGCGGCGATTTAAGTCGCCACGTGGAACGAACTGTAGCCCGGTCGCCGTCGCTGCTCCTCGTCGCGACGGAGTGTTGTTGATTGTACGGCGCTCCATTGTACAAGTTGCAACACTCCGTGACAATACGATAAGTATCGGACACCAGGAGCGGCAAGCCAAGATGATTCTCCGCCGAAAGTCAGTGCATAGCTGCAATTGTCCCTGCCATCAACACTGCTCCACCAAATGCACAGGTTTGAGTCGCATTGCTATATGTCCTCGCACAATCCTCGCCGGCGTGGCGCGGCGCGGCGGGACGACATTGTCGTGCGTCGCAGGAGAGCCGATTGCACGCAGTTTCGCGGCGAAATTAAACTGCCGCGTATCGCGTCACCGAACTTACATCGTCACTCTTTGTCTTTATTATCATCATTGTTTCCGTCGCCGGCGCTGCGACTTCCCCCCGCACCTCCCGCCGCTCATGCCGCCTCGTAAAACGCTCGCGAATGGAAAAGAATGATGTGTGCTATATTTTTTATCGTTACGATCGTTTGGTCAAGCGAAACAGCGCGACTCGGTCGAGCGAATTTTTCTTCTTTCTTCAGCATCGAATCAGCGTTGTTCTAAAGATAGCCTTATCGCTTCAGAAAAGGGAAGGCGCGTATTTGAAAGTACAAACGTGTCGGCGAATTTGCCGTTTTCATTTGCAGCGAGACGCCGCGCGCGAATGTTTTTCACTCCGGCGACACGAAGAACCGTCGCGACTTGTGCGCGATGAACGATAACTCGTGCTATTGTACGAGTCCGCGGGTCATTCGTCGCTGTGGATCCTCACGGCCGCAGGCGGAAAAGAGGATTTACGGTAAGAGCCGCGATTCAATAGCCGAGACTTGATCGAGGGACCGCGATGACAAAATACGCGGATCAGTTACGTCGCCGTCCCGAGGTGAGTGCGACACCTGCGCAAATTATCTTTTGTCCGATGTTGTGCGCAAACATTACGCTTAGACCGTCAAACGCAAATATCTCCAACAGGTCATGTTACAGATTTTTATATCGTCCGTTTGGCTACAAATTGTCTGAAACATCTTTATCTTCTTTTTTTTTCTTTATTTCTTTTATCTTGTAAGCCATTTAATTTTTGCACAACACTTCATCATTCATCTTACGCGAATATCTCCAACAGGTCATGTTACAGATTTTTATATCGTTCATTTAGCTACAAATTGTCTGAAATGTCTTTATCTTCTTTTTTTTTATTTCTTTTACCTTGTAAACCGTTTAATTTTTGCACAACACTTCATCATTCATCTTACGCGAAAATCGAATATTTCGCAGGTGTATTTATTATCTTTGCGGACTCTTTATGTCCGAAAAACTTGATTATTATTGATAGACGAATTTCGGCCAGGGAATGACCGATATGAATGGAACATGCTTAAAGTTATAGTCCGATACCGAATTATGGTTCGTCCAGAGTGGACTCTCAAGTGTCCACACGTCGAACGGCTCTCTTCGCATGTGGTGCGTGCTATTTGGAGCGTGCTCACCGTCGTGGCATGATGTGCATTGTACATGCATATGTAGTCTCTAGACTGCCTCCCCTCGCACGATTGCGCTCCTTGCGCGTTGCCAGGGGAAGGGAGTTCACCAGGGCTGTATCTGCACCCTTTCATCAATCAATAATCCGCATGTTCGCTTCCGCCTCCGCCGGGATTGCCGGAGGAGAATCGGGATATCTTTTCCCGATATCGAAATTGCGTTAAAATTCACGAACAAGTTAGTCGCATTTAATGTGCATTATATTAATAATTCTTGTAGAACAGATATTGATCAGCATCCTTGAGATTTTTTTTCTTTTTGTTTAGCAGGCTTTTATCGATCTTTTGGCTTGGTAATGTAAATTACTCGAAGTTTTTCATTTTCCATTATGTTCCGAGTTCTGGAAAGTTGAGTTGTAATTAATAATTAAACGCTGAGTATATATTTATCGTACAAGGAAGGTGTGTATAAAGAAATCAAATTTGATTAATCAATACTTTCTCATCGCAGAACATTAATAACATAGCCAATGTAATTTAAAAAATTAAATGGTTATTAATAATTAAATATTTCATTTTAATATGAATGGATAAAATTTAAGATTCATGTTCATATTTCATTAGCAGGATAAATTCGTACAATTTTCTTTACTCATTCTACTTCAAAACTTAAATTACTTTTATATTTTCGGCATCTCAAATCTTGGTTTAAAATAACAATCGATTATTCATCTCGATATCGCATATACTACGAGAAATTTATTCTTATCGAACAATATGATTAACGTGATTAAATGTGTCTATATGAAGGGAGCTATTTCAAATATGTCCGCGACTATTTTTGCGACGTTATAAATCGACGCACATTTCGCGTACGGCCCTGGGCAAGTGCTGTCCCCTCTACCTAATAACACGAACTATCGTTCGCCATATCGTCGGGTGTGTTGGCTGGTGAATACGGTGTGATTTATCGTGAATAGCTCGGGATCGAGCTTGCTAAGAGCAGTTTCGTGGACTGGAAGCTCGTCAAACGATAGCCGGACTTGTCCTAAACGTGGTGCTCACTGTACAAGATCAAACAACGGTAAGTGTAGTCGACAACATGGTACGCTTTAGAGACGAAAGTTGGAGACTGAGGGGCGCGATCAGCGATTCTCGACCTTAGTTCCCTGCTCCTTTCAGCTACACTTTGTGTACTCCTTTACTATTTCTCTCTCTCTCTCTCTCTCTCTCTCTCTCTCTCTCTCTCTCTCTCTCTCTCTCTCTCTCTCTCTCTCTCTTTCTCTCTTCTTCCTTTTTTCTTTCTATCTCTTTTCTTTTATGTATATTTTTTTCTCTGAATATCAAGTATACATTTTTTATCCCTTCAATGTGCATAAAGTGAAACTAAAAAGGTACTAAAGAAATTTATTATCTTTTCAGCTGAAAACATTGCATATGTTATTATGATTCTCCTTTCGTCTTTATTTAAAATTTAATAAATGTTTTTATTCTATATATATTAAGTAGTTCCATAATAAAGTTGCACTTTCTTATACTTCTTATACATAGAATGACATAGGAAATTAATATATTTAAACTTTGAAGGAAGAAAAGATATATATATATATATAGCAAAGTGTAAAAAGTATAACTAGGATGATTAGGGCAATAAATTTAATTTTTTTCAAATTTATCTCTTTACTAATTTGTTTTTCTAAAAGTAATATATTTTTTTTAGAAATATATTAGAAATATTCATTTTGTAAAGTATAATTATAAACATGATATGATCTATTATTAATTCTATTATTAATTTGTTGTTACAGTATATGTCACTCATATTGCATTGCTGAACTTTAGATATATTTTCATACAAGGCATAGTATTACTCTGATATTGTATTGTGGTGCTTTAAATTTTAATATTACTACAAATTTTTATTATTAAGTTTGCTGTAAATTTTATTTGGCACAATTTATTAGGACATATCTTTTTATGACAGATAGATTGAGGAATTATAAATACAACAGCTATTACTTAAATCAATGGACATCATGGAAGCAATATTAAGAGAAGATGAAGCGATAGAGCAAACAGAATATAATACAATAGAGAGTGTAATTGCTGATAAAAATAGACCAGCCAAGGAATCAGAAGTGATCAATATGGATACAAAGGTAAAATATGCATTTTATGTATTTATGTATTTAATGCAATTATTTTTTACAGATAAAGAAAACTAAGTGAAATACTAATTCATGTCTATTTTAAGCATGAAATAAGACGTTTTAATATGTGTAACAAGATACTATTTCATATCTATTTTAATGTGTATAACATTCTTTCTATATAAATAAAGATATGTTGACATGTTTTTATATGGATCAATATTGTGTTCATGATAATATTCATGAATAATACAATTATTTTATACATGATAAAGTAATGCCAAAGTGAATATGCTAACAATGTTCATTTACATTGTAGATGAAACAAAAGGCGTGCAAAGAAGACTTATCCATTAACAAGTCGACAAAGTCCGAGACTAAGATCAAAGTCAAGAAGAATCGCAACGTGCGTCAGCCAAGTTATGATTCTACCAATCTGGAGAATAGTCCAGCACAGGTAGCGGAGCGTTTCAAAAGAGGCTGTGAGTGTATCGACGATCAATGTTTCAAGGATCTGAATCCCGAAGTAGTTTATAGACACAGACTGAACATAGCGGAACTCACCAAAGCTGAGCATGACATGTATCTAATGGGTGTCACTATGGCGTGCTTAACAGACCCTTACCAAACTGCCCGGCACACAGAGCGACGTAGGTTACGCGCACAATATGTTTATCAGGGTCGCAGAGTGTGCTTGGATGCATTTCTGTACTTGGAAAATTGTACACATTATCAGATCAAACGCATCAGAAAACATCTGATGACGCACGGTGTGACACCACGCGTGCACGGCAATTATGGAAAAATTCCGCACAATACTTTCTCGTTGGACATATACAAGATCGCTACGGAGTTCTTGAAGAATTTTATCGAGGGTCAAGAGGCCAAGCAGAAAACCAAGCTATCGAAAAACGCACCATTGCATTTACCACCAGACATCACTCGAAAAACCGTGCACGACCTGTATACTCAGTATTGTAAGATAATATCGCCCGATGTAAAGAGTATGGGTTACTCGACGTTCCGGCGATTTATGAAGGTGCAGTTTCCGCAGGTGAAATTCGCCAAGTTAGAATTTGTGGTAAGGAACCAGACTACGCAGAATCACTCTCAGACGGAGCCCGAGACGACTACCACGACGTCGACTTCGACATCAACGCAAAGTGACAGTCAGCAACAGTCGCCTAAGGCTGACTTAGTTACCCCGGAAAGTGGTGGCGCGATATTACCGTTAGTATTAACCAATGATGGGCAAAACGACACGTTTCTCCTGACGCCTATCAGAAAATTGCGGGATGGTGTTAGTTATCAGGTTACCACAGGCGGGTTAGTGCTCAATAGAACTATCGCGCTGTCGAAAACGAACACGATGTAAACTGGAAAGACTGCACATGAAGATGATTTCGAACGATAATACGTGTATGCATGTAATGTGATATATACTTATGCTAAGATCTTGATTCGTAGCAGCGATGCCTACTCTTTGAGCCTAGACCAAGTTGTTGATACTTTTGAGACGAAGTAAGCAACTCACATTAAGACTTGTAAGTAAGGAGAAATATGAATCTAGAATTGAATGAATATATCATATTATAAGTATATAAAAGGAAAAGTAGTACGAAATTATTATAAGATCTTGTACAAGTTACACACGCCGTACCTATATTAGGTCGTCTTTGTGAATGTATGTCTTCTATTGCATTATTCAACTGAGTAAGTATATTGTAAATTATCTTGTTTTAAAAGTTGGTAGTTTATACATAATATTATATATATTATGATATACATCAATAAAAAAAGAATCCTTAGCCAAATAATCGTAGATTCATATCATAATAGTGACGAATGTGTTATAATTACAGATGGATTGTATAAAATACCTTTATTTTTAGAACATAATGTTTTCGATGTTTAACTGTTCTTATCTTTTTATAGTTTAGTGTTCATTTTTTATTATACTCTATAAAGACAATGAAAATAAAATAATAAATTATGTTAAAATATGTTTAAAATGTACACAACCAAAATTTTTGCAACATATGTTATAAAATATTTTATCTTTCATCAGGATAAATTTCTTATAAAAATATGTATCTAAAAAAGAGGAGTGATAGTCTTTTCTTTCTTTTCTTTCTTTTTTTTTTCTTTTCAAAATAAAATACAAATATACTTTTTTCAGGAAACGAAACTGTCGTCATTTTTGTGTAAAAAGTTCAATGACCTGGTGTACCAAAAGCAAAAGAATTCCGATATTACTTATCTTCCTTAAATTCCTGACATGGAAATCAAGCAACCATAGTAGTAGCAGTGGTTCTCAATTCATATAAACGCGAGCGCGCTTCATATATGCTATTTATATTTTGAATTGTATAAACATTATATATAATTTACATATTTTATTCTTAACAGATATACATGTTAAAAATGTTTACTTAATTATTCTTTAGATCAAAATTAAACTTGAGGCAAATATTGTAGGTAATATGAAGCATAGTATTATTTGTTCCAAAATATAGAATTATAAATAATTTTATGTGTTATATAAATTTAATAACTATATGAGGAATTTGGAAATAACTTATTGATAAATGATTTCTGATTTTGATATATTTTTCCTCTAAAATCTTTTTTATAAAAAATTTTGTTTTTATTACAGACTGGTACGTGAGTATATATTAACTGTCGTGAGTTTGAAAGTAATCAAGATTCAAATTAGCAATTTTGTTTCTAAGATTTGTGTTATAATTAAAATCATTCTTCCGTTTGAGAACCTCTTAGTTTACAGTTATATCAGCAATATTGTGGGTATAGCAGGGAACTGTTTCAGCCTGGTAGCATCAGCAAGGTCATGTGAGTGCAACCTCTGATCAGGTACTCACATTCAGTACACCAGTGCGATCTGAGCCGTGCATTCACAGTAAACATTGCATAAGAGATTGTCAACGGAAATTATTAGATTGCTAAAATTTTTCAACATAAAATAATATTGTGATGTATGATGGAGTGCATTTTATTTTAAATATAGTGTAAAGGATGCTGCGCGGTTTTAGATTCTAATAGGAAATTCAGATATGCGGTAAATTAAAATTGAATTATTGTGAAAATGTGTGTTGATGTATAATATGCCAAAGAATTTATATTATAATCGTATATTTGTGTGCATATAATTGTATATGACAAATATTTAAATATGCAAAGATTTTAGGATTGATATAAATTTTTAATTAATCTCTATTTTATGTGAATGTTTAATTCTGAAGTTAAAATTGTACACATCATGCCAATATTTTATTCATTCTATATTATTATTGTCGTCAGAATATATTTTCGGAAATAACGGTATATTAATAATAATAAAAGATATTTAATTGCAGAAGATGTAGAGAGTATGACAGGTGAGATAGAAAATGGAGATTTAGCAGTTCGGGACGTTGCGGATCTTCTCCAAGCGCAATACGCTATTATCGCTGGTAAATATGTATTACTATTATAAGATGTACTCAGTTATATCGATTTTTAATAAGATGAGTATTTTTAAACGCTTCCTTTTATATATTAAAAAAGAAATCTTTTCTCTAGGAGGGAAAACTCGAGAAGGATGCCCTATAATCACGTTTCCGGACAATGGCAATTTTCACAACTTGACCGATTTGGATTACCAGCGTCTCATGCTCTACCTTACTTCCGTGCCGACGTATGAACATATCTTATGTTATTATATGTTATTACTAACTATATCTTTGCTTAATTAATTTTATTTGATGTCCAGGTTGCAAGAAGCTGATCTCGGATTTCATTTGATAATCGACCGAAGGAATGACAAGTGGAATTCGGTGAAAACGGTTCTTTTAAAAATATCTGTAAGCACACCGAACATATTATAATTATCGCTGTGTTGTTATCCGTGAGTTACTTAACGATTGGCAATATCTCTCATCACGAATTCCGTATTTTTTCCAGGCATTTTTTCCCGGTTTGGTGCATGTCGCATACGTACTGCGACCCGCCGGGTTCTTACAGAAAGCTATCTCAGAGGTGTCGAACAAATTGTTTAGGGAGGACTTTAAGTTCCGAGTCATATTCCTAGCTAATGTCGCCGAGCTTCACGATTTCATAGAGAAGGATCAGCTCACTGAGCAACTCGGCGGCGATCTGCCGTATTGCCATCACACTTGGATACAGAATAGAATCGTAAGTACGAGAGACATGATGAAATTTAACATTTAACGATGTAATTTTCACACATTTTCTATATCGTTCTTTTTTCGCAGAGTCTGGAAAAATTCTCATCGATGACGCAGGACGTGTCTCTCGCGCTGGATTCCTTCACGCGACGTCTAGCTGAAGTGGAATTCCCGAACAATACTATTGCTACGACAACATTATTGGCGCAGCAACAGGCCGAATACAACGAATTAAAGGAAGAAATACTCAGCGCTGCCAGGCACGGTGAAGCTCTCTTGGATAGCGTGCGACAGTTAACCGGGAAAGGAACGGCTGATAGATTGGGCAACGTTGCCGCAGTAGAAAGGTAACGTGACAAAATGCAATAACCAACAATAAACACAATATGGATAACATGATATAGATGCCATTTATTTCACGTCTTCGTATTTTTAAAAATAATTGATTTGATATTACGAAAAATAATTGATTGATATTGCGAAGCAATATATTGAGCGAGATATATAATAGTTATACTACTGTTACATATAATGTTTAACGTAGCTTTTTTTTCAATTTCAGGCTACTCGTTCAGCTGGAAGAAACTGAGCGAACCTTCGACTTATTCTGGTCGCACCACAGCTCACGTTTGCGACATTGTCTGGCCCTGAGGCAGTTTGAGCAAGATTTTCGAGAATTGCAAGCAACGTTGGATCAACACTTGAAGACGGCGGAAGAAATGACAGAAGTCGGCGAGACGCAAGCGAGAGTGGAACAATTGTTATGCGACACTTCGGCGTTCCAGCGAATATGCAGAGTACGTAGCTCTTAGTGTCATTTTTAGTCAGAAAACACAACCGATACAACTGTATGTCGTCAGGATCAACATGTCTGATTATTCTTCTGACAAGATATTGGACTAAAGTTCGCGAGCCAAACGGGAACGCTTTTCTAGTGTCTAAATAGCGTACAAGATAAAATCGCAAGGATAAAAATTGCGTTGTAGCAAGTCAATTTGTGTCGTTTTAGTGTTAAATCGTAGACCCACATTATCGGTACAGATGGTACGAAGATAATGTGATCACACGATGAACTGGTGGAAGCGATTTCACATTGTTGACTTCGAGTTTGAGAATGTACACGTCGCACTCAGAGCACCACGATACACCATTCAAACCAGTATACTTTTATTTATCGTAAAACTCGACCGAATATCTCTCTCTCTCGTCACGATGCTCTTCAGTGAAACTGCATGGACATGTGGCGATGCGATTGAAATACACTCACATGTACATGCCGTCTCATAACACGCAAATTCTGGTTTGAAACGTGATCACGAGCAGTAACATATATGACGCACATCATGCACAAATGTTACTTTGCACCGCTTTCCTCATTTTGTCGATAGTCCTATTTGTTGCATACCATGTGGATTTGGGTCTTGGTAAGCACAGTCCACTTAACAAGATACATGTATTCTGTAATAGAGTTTATACATTTTCTAAAACACACTTGTCGATATCTTAGCGTATCTCGCATATATCTCTCAGTCTTATATATCGTTTATTGAAGTCAGATTAGAAAAACATTCCGTTTTACAAGAAGCTCTTCTGTAGGCGCTATGAATACAATCTCTATTATGCGTTACATACACAATTCAACGTTTGATTTCTTTTCCTACAAACATTATATATATATATATATATATATATATATTTCTTTTCTTTTTATTTGAAATGCTGCACGCGCATATGAGTGTCATCGTTTTTTTTCTTTTTTCTTCTTTTCGAAACCGGTGGACATACCCGGCAGAGATTTGATTCATGTCCGATAATGGCATGGTAACTTTTTTGCGAATGATCATCATTGCATACATATATATGATTTCTCGCTCTGCATTGCACGCTCGATAGTGTATTTCTTTTCTCACGGGCAGAAGCGATATTTAGACGTTCCTTAGACAGTTCTTAATGAGGCTATAAGAAAGATGCTATGATTGTTCACGTAGTACCTTCATTTTTCTATATAGCATCGTCTTAAATCTCCATCGTGCATGAGTATAATTACATATGTTTATAGGGAGACATAGACCGCGCGGAAGAGGTGATATCCGCCGGTCAACAGCTATTGTCTGGCAGGCATCAGTGCCCGGCAGATGTTGTAGAGCCCAAGTGCGTGGAGCTACAGAGAGTCTGTACGATTCTTAGTCAGAGACTAGAGAGACGATTGCACATGCTGACCAAGTGCAGAGAGCTCATGGAGCGTATAGACAAGGTACGTTCGTTTTATGTTTCAAAAGCTTCGCCTCCATTCTCGTAGTGCCTGCACGTGCCAAATGAAAGTTTCTAATATCTTTGTTATCGATCGGTAGGCCAACACTTGGTGCACGCGAGGGATAGAATTGCTCGCGTCGCAAAACAGCACCACACCGCCGGATCAGGCACTTCAAGAGCTGCAGCAGTTGATCGAAGCCGCAGAGGAGTTTCATCATCCCCGATGCATCTTCCAGGACTCCGTGATGCCGGAAACCAAGGCGCTTATTACGCAGGTGTGTATTTGTGAAGATCTTTCATTTCATGAATATATGAGCTCCTTCGTGAGGTTGACAGAATTCGTCGTGCAGGTTCTTCAAAGGATAGAGGACGTATCTCTGATGTGCGACAAGAGAATAATGGCACTAAAACAGCAATTGATCAAGCCAGCCAGGCCAGTGCAAACTGTCACACCAGAACCAGTCAAACCCTTGCAATCACTGCCTCAATCTGTGAAACCTGGCAGAGTCTTGAAGAAAGCCAACACCATGCCAAAGGTAATCTCTTTCGTGCTTATGGCAAAAATGATAAAGCCCAGTTTTGCTGTCGAGAAAGAAATCCAGCAAGGTATATACGTCATGCAGATTTTTATTCATAAAACATGACTTTGTTTCAGATGGAGATGAGCCCTATAGAGGGAGAATCCTCGTCGCCAGAGAGCGAGCCTCGGGACGTCGAAGCCTTGCGCTTAAAGCGTGGCCATGTCCTGGCGGAACTTGTGGAGACTGAGCGAATCTACGTCGCCGAGCTCGGCTCGATAATCAAGGGCTATAAGATGGAAATGTCGAACGAGGCGATGGTTCATTTGATACCTGCGGCGTTGACCGGCAAGGCGGACGTTTTGTTCGGCAATTTAGAAGATATTTATATTTTTCACGGGGAGACATTCTTGAGGGACTTGGAGAACTGCATCTCAAATACTGAGCTCGTCGCCCTGTGCTTTGTCCAAAGGGTGAGCGCGCGCCACGGTGTCACATAATATCGAATGCTATGCCGTATCTAGAGCCGCAGACTAATTTCACGTGTGTACGTTTGTAGCGCGAGATGTTCTTTAGACTGTACAGTTATTATTGTCAAAATATACCGCGCTCGGAACGGCTGCGCGAGCAGATACAAGGCGAGCCGCAGTTTCTCGCAGCCTGTCAGCAGAAACTCGGCCATAAGTTGCCGCTCGCTGCCTACCTTCTCAAGCCCGTGCAACGTATCACCAAGTACCAGTTGTTGTTGAAGGATCTGTTAAAGTATAGCGACGAGCCGTCATGTTGCACTGAGCTACAGGAAGCGTTGGATTGCATGCTGGTCGTGTTGAAGTGTGTTAATGACAGCATGCATCAAACTGCAATAACGGGTTTCGGAGTAAGCATATCCCTTAATTTTACATAATCATTGACTCTTGTATTCTATCATTTATTGTATCTTGCGATTCGCTCGCAGGGAGACCTGACCGCACAGGGTGAATTGTTGTTACAAGGCTCGTTCAGTGTTTGGAGCAGCAGTAAGCGGGAGCGACTGCTGCGACTGAAACCGTCTCAGCGACATATTTTCTTATATGAGAAGGCTCTGATATTTTGTAAGCACAGCAAGCCTCAAGCTCACAACAAAGCTACGTATCATTTTAAAAGATATTTGAAGGTACAATATATCAAATTCAGCAGCTTTCAACTCAAGAAAGAATGATCCCCCTAATCTTAATCGTTTGATATTTTTACAGATGTCACAGATCGGTTTGACAGAATCGGTGAAGGGCGACGCCAGACGATTCGAGATATGGCTGCAGGGCAGAGCTGAGGTGCACACGATACAGGCGCCCAGTATCGACGTCAAGCAATCCTGGGTGCGCCAGATTAAAGGCGTCTTGATGTCTCAGCTAGCCGAACTCAAGGGCAAGCAGAATTCAGCTCTTGGAAAATCCAATCACAAGTGTGTAACCGAAGAATATGGTAATCACACTCTTTATTTTCTTATTATATTCTAATTCTCTCTTCTGTTCTCTCTTTGCTGTGAAGACCGCTGCGACAGACGATCTCGTGGGAAACTCAAAGCAGCATTTCGGGCTCTTTGCGGACGTTATCCGTCGACGGCAACAGCGTTATATCGCATATGCCCGACGTATCACAGTCTACGGAAGATGATGCAGCCTGGAGCTCGGAGAACAGCAATACCGACGAGGAAGACGCGTTTGCTGACAGCCCGGGACCTGCACCTGTAAGTCTTTGTATACAATCGAACTGTTTTCTTTTGGCGAAGAAAATCTTATACATTTATACCACGTCCCAAAAGTAACGGACCACCCTAATAACTCTTCAGTATTGAAGTTTCAAGGAAAATGATCTGAATAAAAGGTGTAGGGATTTAAGTGAACTACCTTATGATGACTTTGACCTCGACCTCTATTTTCAAGTTCATTTGAAGGTCAACTTGTGTTTTTTAAATGAGAATCTATTTTTTATTACACTATCTTTTTCTACCATTTAAATTTAAATTTAATTAATTTAAACAACTTTTGTCTAAAACATTTTTTTATTTACCTAATATTTTTTTAGATATTTGAGGAAGACTTGATAATTTTTTCAATATTGAACTTACGATATCTCGCTAACTATTTGTCGGAAGAAAAAGTGGTACTAGACTTTTTTACTCTATTTACTCTCAAGAATATATTTTGACAATAGCGCCCTGACTTTTGTCAACTTATTGACTTTTGGAAATTTCAAAATCATCAAATTAACAAAAATTAGGGCACTATTGTAACAATATATTCTTGAGACTAAATAAAGCAAGAAAGTCTAGTACCACTTTTTCTTCTGACAAATAGTTAGCGAGATATCGTAAGTTCAATATTGAAAAAGTTATCAAGTCTTCCTCAAATATCTCAAAAAACATTAGGCAAATAAAAAATGTTTTAAACAAACGTTGTTCGAATTAATTGGTAGAAAAAAATAATGTAATGAAAAATGGAGGTTCTCATTTAAAAAACCCAAGTTGACTTTCAAACGACCTTGAAAATAGAGGTCGAGGTCAAAGTTTAGGTCATCGTAAGGTAGCTCACTTAAATCCCTACAACTTTTATTCAGATCATTTTCCTTGAAACTTAATACTGAAGAGTTATTAGGGTGGTCCGTTAAGGTCATTTTACAATACGTGTCGTAAGTTGTAAGCCGTAAGAACTGACCAATTATGGCCGATTATTTTTATAATAATTGATTGTGATTCGCCAATTCTTACGGCTTACAACTTACGACACGTATTGTAGAATGACCTTTACTTTTGGTACACGTGGTATATCATAAGATAGTTTATAATAACAATATACATATATACAGGATGAAGAAATATTATTACCACTTCAAGTACCTGATATACTAACAATTATTTATTTTACGATTACAGGGCGGAAGATACGTGGCATTGGCAGATTATTGTGCAGTGGGGCAGTCGGAGGTGACAATGCGCGAGGGCGACACGTTGGAGCTTCTCAAGGTGGGCTGTGCCGGTTGGTGGTTCGTGAAATTGATCGGCACCGGCGTGGAGGGTTGGGCACCGGCGGCCTACCTGGAGCCGATCAGCCGCAAAACGTCCCGAAGCTCGCAGTCGGTCAACAGTCAGGAGACCATATGAAACAGGCGACTAACACACTAGAGAGCTCGCTAGTGTGTTAGGTGTCTTCGATATATACACATGATTCCGCGAGGATTGCTGCGGAAGTTGTCGAGACGTGCGCCGCTGGAATTCACCGCGGATCTTCCGATGAGAGCAAGCCGACCAGCAACGTCGACAACGGCAACGGTTTTTGGAAATCTTTTACAGAGCATTCGCACGACGTTGAGTTGCGTATCTTTGTTGTACAACATGGCATACGTATACACACACATACACACACACACACATACACACACACACACACATATATATATATATATATATATATACACAATGTCCGAGCGACGCTTTTGCATTTCGCGACGCGAGCGTTGAGTTCAACGGGCCAAGATTTTTACGTTTGTGCGAATTTTATACCGACGCATGCAGGACGATGTGGAGAGAGGCAGAACGGAGCGGAAAGCTTCATGTTTCATGATCGCGTTACAGACAGTTGACACGAACGATCGCGTTTCGTTCGCGTCGCGTCAGCTCGCAAATGTGCTCGTTCTCGCGAGCGCCGAGACGGCATTTACTGAATTGTACAAAATACATAGCGTCGAATTAAGCGTTGAGAGGTATATGTGCACGCACACAACAGAGATTATGGTTCGATCTCGTGTCTCGTGATCACTACTCTACTACAGATAATGTTATATAAATTTCTACACAATATAGCGCATGCTATAATCGAAGACAAGAGGGGCGAGAGAGAAAGAGAGAGAGAGAGAGAGAGAGAGACAAGAGGAGTGATATGTCGCTGATATGTCAGGCGTATATCCTCGTTCAGTTACTCGCAATTCATTTAGTGTCTGTGTGTGTAAGAGGAAGTTGCGCGTGCAAGCGTAATATACGCTGTATACTACGCTTGTATAAATAGTAGTTCTTACTTGCGACCTGGGTAATCAAATATCGGCTGTACGCGAATATTCCAAAGCTAATGTCGTTAAGAGAGACGCGCGCGACACTTTCGTCCATTGTATTCTATGCACGACACGCATGACTTTCTTCGGTATAAAGAGAATCGCGTGCTCTTCGTGGGGACACGACCCTCTTTCATCCGACACGCGCGGCGTGTTTTCGCGGTATTTCATGAGTAACTTAGGCGCGATCGTTGACTGCATCACTTGTGTATCGTTATCATACATTGGCTTAAAGCTCTTTTAAGTAGTGTTAGATGCGTCGCGATCAATCAAATAGTACAATTTAGTCGCGGGCTCTCGAGAACGTCATTGGGTGTTTCGTTCGAGGGTCGGTGGGGTTGCTTCTTGAATTTAGAATATTCGTGAATTATCGGAGACAGCTGTTCGAGCCTTCGAGGGGTTGGGAGGGGAGATGTGTGATACAATGTTAGAGTGACGCTTCTGTGGATTGATTGCCGTAAGAGCATATACAGAAAAAGAGAAAATGTTTAATTAATATATTCGCCATTTTTAGATCGTTAGATACATTGTTGACAAGTCGTTGCGACCAAATAAGTTCGTTATAATCGATGCGAATCCGACGATGTATCAGCCGTTCGTTTCGAAAGGATGACGGTGGAGGTACGGAAGAGGAGGAGAGGGGGATGAAAAGTCGGGGAATCATATGCGAGAGGCGCGTGTACACAGAGTTTTCTAGAAGCTAAACGGTTAACACCAAATTACATGCAATATCCGACTACCGATTACGGTAAATTTTAAACACCTAATACCTTAGTACTATACATATATACATATATATATATAATAAGCAATCTCAGTTCTAGCGGATTTCATATAACCCACCACTTTCATAAATTTCCAATAATGATATAACGAGTGTATCATAGTATCGTTTGTACTAAAACGTTTGTATGGATACTGATAACATAATCTAAGGGGATTTTTGCAATCGCTATGGATTTCTTCTCCGTATTTACGTTGATTGAGTCCGCTCGTAGGGGAATGCGTGTACGCGAAGTTTCGTCGCAGTTCTTTTTCTTTTTTTCCCGTTTTGAAGTTACACAGCCTACATGAGTCTCATTTTTCGGTGTTTATAGCTCGCGCATTATTTGTACAGAAGAGAACAAAGTTCCACGGTATACATATTTATTAGATAGAGATATTTATTGAATAGAATATTTTATATATTTATCGCGATGATTCCCAGCGATTGACAGATCAGCCCGATTGTTCACAGCGACCGACGTATTGTAAACGCGATGTACGACATGATGAAGGCTAATTATGTATGATAGACGGTTAAAATGTTAAGACGCCGGGATCACGGTAATATGAAGCGAAGAGATGGGAATTCGTCTTCTCGTTAATTGAGAAAGGAGCATTGTCTGCGCTTCGCGTTCGTAGAGCTTGCGCTTTGGCTGTTCGGATCGTTGCATTTCTGTCGCGTGGTGAATGTTTTAGTCTCTGCTGTTGATATTCGCCGGTCGTGCTTAGACTTGGAACACACGTACTTTTGTACACACCTATATCCATTTATAAGCCGTCCTTATATTACCCGTAAGATTTCGATCAAACGAGCGATTGATTTAAAGGATCCATTTGTACACGTCCTTTTAGTTTAATATAGTGTTTTTTTAGAGCACGGTTCGGAGATGAACGCAAGCGGTTTAACTTGTAGATTTCCTTCGCGTGCGCTAGCAATCCCGCTGTGAAGTATCGGTAACCCGTAGGCGGCTAACGCCGCTCGTATCACATTCAATTGTATCAAAAACACCTCCGCAGAACTGTGTGTGTGCGATCTCTTCGTCGAAGGGGCAGCGTCCCCGCAATTTTTGAGTAAAATCACGACTGAGCGACCAAGTTGTGGTGATATCTAAACGACAGAGAAAGAGGCAAGGCGTTTTGTAGAAATTATAAATATATAGATATATATATATATATATATATATATATATATATATTATACATATATACATATACATATAGACAATAATTATAACCACTGTTGAAGGATATACGAGGCAAGCACGTTTCCGGATGACGATTCATGATAACACGACTGAGATTCCCAACGACCGCGAATGTATTTCCCATCGCGATTATCGGAGCAGCAAATAGAAGCGGGTTCCCGCGAATGAATCACCGTGGGTGCAACAGCTCTGCGTATGCAGAGCGATGTAAATGCATACACATACACGCACACACACACACACACACACACAAACACATCGGTACGCGTGTGATCTTTTGACAGAAAAAAGAAACTCACGCGGGGAGTCCGACCGTGATTGCTTTACGGACGGTTCCTTTCGTCGTTCCTTGGCAGAAGAGTGAATAGTAAAGTTTATTTTTGCATATAACATGTGATAACGTGGCTGCCGAAATCGCTTCTATTTGCATTACGCGTTTACAGTGCTGATCATTTACCTCTCGCCAACCCCGAGCGGCCGTAATCAAAGATTATTACGTGTTACGGATGCATTTCTTTATTCTCTTTTTATCTTTTTTTTTTTTTTTTTTTTTTTTTTTTTTTTTTTTTTTTTTTTCAATTTTTCTTCTCGGTGACGCATCATCAGCCGAGCTTGAAAGTCTCCTGGAGCTTCTTTCCATTGTTGCGATTAATATGTGTTATCGTACAGACGGTGTACGGTGTCGTATTTCGGTCCCAGTGAGAAGAAAATCACTTGGATCTCAAGCACGAAAGGAATATTTTTATACAAGACGCAAGAAGAAAAGTGCTCAAGCTTAAGTTCACGACGGCCCTTGCTTGAGACGTTTGGTTTGCAAGTTCTGCATTATGTTTGCGATTAATTAAGACAGCGAGCGAGAAGGCGGATCTGACAGTGGAGGTGGTGATGCGGGTGTGTCGCATGCAATTGTAGATTATGCATTTTTGTCCTCATCCTTAAGAAGGAAGCAGTATCGTGTAATTTGTGAAATGCATCGACTGTAATATCTAAGCGTGTACAGATTTTGTTAAACTCGTCCGAATCTTATGTACAATCAGTTGTCAAACTTGTACGAGTCTGCAATATTAAACGGGAACATTAAACGCGAGAATTGAATGCCTTGCGCCCATGCTTCTCATCGTTAAGAGATCTCCGCCTTTCGATATTCGGGGAAAAACAAACTGATTTTATGACTGCTATTATTTGTCTTGGCGCTTAAGTTGTAGTTTGCATGCGACTCTTCAAAGCGAAAGAATGTTGTTGATTAGTTTTAACGATAATTTTAATATTAATATCATAGTTTGTAATCACAAGACCGTCAGATCCGGAAAGTTTCTTCGAGCGATTTCATTCGCAAGAATTCCGTGACACTTATTCTTTTTTCGAGATCTTACAGAAAACAAGAAAGTTTACACATTTCTTTTTTTCTGGACACAAAATAAATTAAAGAGTGGTATAGTATATATGTGCACGGCATTTTCCACGAAAGTTTAAATCGAATTTGGTGGCAAAACTATTTCTCAAATTTGTCGTGATATGCCGCGGGCGTCGTTCGATCAAAGTCCGTAATTCATTGCCGACTCCACACTCCATAATTTATACGCGCCTTTGAAAAGTGGTGTCCCAGCTTTCTAGCGGTAATTCGCAGGAGATTCTAACTCCCACTGTTTTACTGATGACGGAAGTGATTAGTTCGCCTTTAGCTTGGTCACGAGACCGAGGAAAGCACAGTTGGCTGCCTTCAGGTTCCTCTCTGCTGTAAAGACCACGGACTTAAAGGACAGAGCATTAGGATCAACTTTAGATACGGGGTATGAAGCAATGGGGGAAGGGAAGAGTAGATATTCAGCCAAGTTTAGATGGGCCACTTGCGCTGCTATCTACTGGACAACAGTAGCATTACTTTGCGCATCCAAGCTAATGTGGCAAAGATTTCTTTTTCATAAAAAATGGTGAATTGCATAATAAGTGGGTGCAATAATAGATCTTCTCGCAAACCGAAGAAACAAGAGGAGTTGGAAAAAAAAGAAAAAATTTCATTTTTCACGTATATATATAAAGACAAAATATAAACTTTATGTTAGTCGCAACTTTTTTCATAAAAGCTTTTTTTTTATATTTATATTACAGTTTTCCCAAAAATGAAATTAAAAGAAAAAAGTGGTGCGAAGCTATCAATATAGCAGAAGCTTCTATAACACAAAGTTCAACTATGTTCCTTACATTTTCAAAATAAAGGATCTTCAGAATATATGGATCTTCAGAAACACGTCTTAAAGAAGATGCATTTCCTTTTGTAAGATGTTCAATAATTATATCCTTATTATACGTTACATATTGTTGTCCTTATTACATGTTATTGTAGACATCTTAAAGATGTCATAATGTTAATTTTAACTTGTTATTAATAGCTAAAATCTTACAAAACAGAAAAAATGGATGAACAAAGTGACCTAACATGTAAGTATTTTGTGGATAAACGTGCAATACACACCCACATACATACGTTAGTCGTCAAGCCATTTTCGGATCTCATCCACTGATTGGAAATGCATATCGGACAAGACGTGTTGCATCGACCGCAACAAGTGATAATCGGATGGAGCAATGTCTGGTGAATACGCCGGCCGTGCTGCAAGACGTCCTAGCCAAGACTCATTATGGTGTCTTTTGTATTGGAAGCAATGTGTGGCCTGGCGTTGTCATACAACAATTTCCCTGGACGTTCTCCTTTGCCAGTATACGGGCGTTTTCCAATTCTCCAATTCTTGACTCAAGCAGATTAATTGACGTTGGTAGCAGTCCGCAGTAACTGCCGGGGTTTCACCCGGTTCCAACAACTCATAATAAAGCACGCCCTTGATATTCCACCAAATGCAGAGAAAAACCTTCTTTTCGAAGCGATTTTGATGATTTGCCGGGATTTATCCATGACTTTCTGCGTTTCGGATTGTCATAGAGTATCCATTTCTCATCGCCCGTAACGATTTTCCACAAGAAAGACTTTCGACGCTGCTTATTGAGAAGAGAAAGACACGCTGCCACTCGTTGATTTTTGTTGGTTTCAGTGAGTTCATGCGGAACCCATTTTCCTTCTTTCTGGATCTTTCTCATCTCATGTAGGCGTTTGGAAATCGTTTGCTGCGTTACTCCCAAGTGTTCTGCAAGCTCTGTTTGTTTGTGCTGAATTCTCAGCGAGTAATTGTTCCAAATCATCATTATCGCACTTCGGAGGGCCTCCAGGACGTTGTTTGTCGATTAGACTGAAATTACCGCTTTTACCAAAACCGCTTAAACCAAAATGCGCACACATCGTACGATACAACACCTTCGCCGAGAAAGGAACAAATCGATTCGCACGCTGTTGCAGCATTTTTTCCTTGTTGGAATTCGTAAAGAATACAGTGTCGGATATGCACCTTATCTGCCTATTGCCATTTTCGACTGTACTGAACTGAATACTTTTGAAGGTTATGTTGGGCCTTTCGCCAAACTATATGTTCTTTTTAATAGCTACTAGAACACTACAAGAGCGCGCTACGCGCGCGCCATTTTAGCTTATTCATATTAAAGTTCAGAATAAATATTATAAATCAAAAATAATCCCTGGAGTATAATATAAATTCGATAATTTCCGACTCTAACATACGATGTATTAGGCGCATACAGTTTGAAATTCCATGACACATATTTTCTGGATAGTAAAGCGTAACCGTATAACAAGTGAAAATTTCGACGTTCAACATTTCTATTCAAGCCCATCTTAAGCTCTATCTCTTCCCCCCTCACTCTCTCTCTTTCCCTCTCTGTCTTTCTCAGTCTCTCACTCTCTCTCCCTCTCTCTCACCCTTTCTCTCTCTCTCTCTCTCTCTCTCTCTCTCTCTCTCTCTCTCTCTCTCTCTCTCTCTCTCTCTCTCTCTCTCTCTCTCTCTCTCTCTCTCTCCCTCTCCCCCTCTCCCCCCCTCTCTCTCTCACACGCACACACGCACTCTCTCTCTCTCTCTCTTTCTCTCTCTCTCTCACTCTCTCCCCCCATTCGCTCTCACGCCCTTCCCCTCTCTCCTTTCTCCCTCTCCGGATGTTGAAACATTTGTTTTTCCTTTTTCTTTGTCTACAATGATTTTGTATTTGTTCAGTTTTCCAATTTCCAAATGTATTTTGGAATGGAGTTACACTCAATTTTTTCTTTATAAATTCTACCGGCAAAATTACGTCACGAATTTTTACAATATTCTGGAATCTTCAAGACTTACCTAGAATCTCCGTCGTTGGCCAAATCAACATAACATTCTTAATCTTCTTATCCTATGTTACTTTTTCTTAACCTACTCTTACATCTCTTTAACTTTTTCATTGAATGCCATCTGTTTGTCTCTTTTAACGTAAATAAAAAATTATAACCGATAACTTAACATGTTTCTTTCTTATATCGTACTGAATATAAAACAAAATCATCCTTTAACATATTTCTTTCTTGTATCATAGTGAATATAAAACAAAATCGTTATTGCTCTAATAATTTTAACCAACTAAACTTTTAAGGTTTCTTTTCCCCAGTAATTCCTCTCCTCTTCTTCATCGCCTTCCCTCTCGTGGCGTCCTCATGTTGGTTTCGTCCGCCACTCTGCATTTTGTTTTATATTCAGTACAATATAAGAAAGAAACATGTTAAGTTATCGGTTATAATTTTATATATAATAATATAATATTATTATAATAATATTATTATTATATATAATAATGTTGGTTTCGTCGGCCACTCTGCATCCGAGGACGGGTGCACCATGCGCCCGCAAATTTTCTCGATGCCACCAGATGATGCAAATATGACTGGTTGTTTCTATCATATTATTGTTGTTCCTCTTGTATATTTGTTGACGTTTCCGTTTCTTGTATCTTTGTTGTTTGTTCTGCTTGTATAGTTTCTAATATTGTTAATGATTCGTCTGATGTTTTTGACGCTTGACCTGTTATGTTTGTATCGTCTTGTGGTTTAGAGGAAATTTTTTTTATTGATATGGCTGTTTGTATTATGTCTTGCGTCACTCTTTATGTGGTTGGTGTACTCGTTTCTTTTGGAGTAAATGTTTCGCTATCTATTCTTGTTAACCTTTCTTTGTTGTGTTGTGTTTTGGTTTTTGTTGGTTTTGTCGTCACTATTTTTATATTTTGTTTATTTCCTGTTGGTATTTGTTCGTCTTCACTGTCAGATGACGATAGGTTGATTTGGTAATACTTTCTTTTCATTTTTTCTTTTTTATATTCCTTTAATTCCTTCTCCGTCCACGATCTGTATTGCCCTTTATCGTTTCTTGGTCTCGGAATCACTACTAGGTTAACGTATGGTTTTTCGATTTTACGAGCCGATTTTCCGTCACTTGAATATCGTGTCATTTTTATTACTTTTGGTATTTTATACGTTGCACTTGTATGTGTTTTTATCTTTCTCGTAGGAGTCGTATACGTACTGCTTGTCGATGGTCTATTGACGTCTTCTTCTTGAAATGATGTTGATTGATATCGGCTTTTCTCTTGTTGTTCAAACCTTAACGATTCCTCAGAATTTTCACTCGCTGTTCTTTGCTCCTGTCTTCTAGTTTACTCTCTTCTTTGACGCATCTCTCTATTTATTTGTTTTATTTCTTTCTTCATCTGTTCCTTTATAAACTGTTCTCTTTCTAATCTTTTCTTTTCTAGCATTTGCTGCAACTCGTTGAAATCCTCCGGTAAGTCATCGCTGTCAGTTTCTTCTTCTCGTTGTCTGTTGTCATCCATCTTGTTGTTCTCTGCGAAAGGATTTTACTGGTTACTCTTTTGTTGTTCTCTTCTTAGCAACGTGGCGGGCTTATGTTCTACTTTTACATCTTTTATTCGATCGTTAACATTTTTCGCGTCCGCGGTTCTTAATCTACTTGCTCGCTCTACGTCGCTTGGGTTATATTTTTGTTTTATTATTTTTATGAATGGGTTTGGGGTTCGAGTGGGTTTTGTTACTTTTTTGTTTTTGTTATTGTTATATTTAGAGTTATTATTGTTTGTTGTAACGTTTTCGCTGATTTTTTCTCTGCTCCCGCTGTTTTTTGGTATGTCCCCGCTGTTTTCTGCTATGCCCCCGCTATTTTCTGTTATATTTTTGTTATTTTCTTTTAATGAATTGTTATCTTTCTGATCGGGGCTACTAAAACCTGTATATTTTGTTGTTTGTCTTTTCTGTCTTTTATCCGCTTTAAATTCATTTTTCGTAAATCCGTTTTGTTCTAAATTAAATGTTTCGTCGGAAGAACGATCGTTATTACTCTCACTACTGGAACTTGATTCTGAATCTACTATATTTTCGTGAACCCTTTCAATATTTCGTGAACTATGTGGTAATTTTGTACAACGCTATTTCGCTTAATTTAACATCCGCTTATTCTAATGTTTCAGCAGGAAATCTTTGAAAGTATCCTAGGAGTATTTTAAACAATGCCTGATACGGTTCATCCCAAATTGTGGTCGTTATAATTCCTGTTACGGTGGGATTTTCGTTCGAATGTATTAATAGAGGATCGTATCCCATTCTAGTGAATAAACAATTATAAATATCAAACTGAGTCTTTAAAAATATATCACTTTAATGATATATTTATATATTTATATATTGTACATACCTAGAGAATTTTCTAGGAAACCAAGAGGTTTAGATGAATTAGATCGCTGGAAAGCGATAGAATTTAGACTGTTTCTCTTATATACTAGTCTATCAATTTTATGGTCATATTTGCCAAATGATTATTTGAGACATTTTTATGTTCTACATTGTGCAATTTAAAATGTTATATTCTAAGAACTACGTTACATACAATGTACATAACTTGGTTCATTTACATGTTGATGTTAAGAATCATGGGTGTCTGGACATGTTCAGTGCTTTTCCATTCGAAAATTATTTTCAAGAAATGAAACGAATGCTACGAAAAAATGCACAACCGTTACAACAATTGCACAGACGATTAATGGAAAAATGTCAAACTGTAAGAAATATTGGGTATAAACCTGAAGAATATCCCATTCTTCAAAATGCCAAGAACGAAGAATTATTGTTTGGATGTACACAATCTCATAAAGAAATAATATTTGAAAAATTTACACTATCCTGCATCAAAGAAGCCGATTCTTATTGTTATATGAATAACAGAAATGTTCTCATGATTGAATATATTGGAAAAAAGAATGGAGAAACAATAATACTTGGAAAAAAGTTAAAAAATTTCGATAATATATCTTTATATCCATGTGATTCGCGAAATTTGAAAATCTATGTCGGAAATGAATGGTCTGAAATTGGAATGTATCCAATAAGTCAAATAAGCGCAAAAGCAATGCGACTTCCTTACAAAGATACATTTTGTATAATTCCTATTCTACATACTAATGATTGAAGTGAGTTGTTATTTTTTATAAAAACAACTGTAATAATTTATAAATAAAACTAGTAATTTATAAATTGTATTATATCATACATAAATATATTATATTATACAAATAATATTGTTTAATCCAATTTGTAATTATGACAGATATTTATATAAATAATAAGTTTTATATATATAAATATTTTTTAACAATAAATTATGACAAGTTTGAATCATAATTTGGATGCTTTAGGATAGAAAATCATAATAATTATGAGTGAAATTATTTTCATTTATTCTCTTAAATACTTCATCATTACTTAATCAGTATTTATTGTTACAGATGTATTACGTCGTATTTTGGGACGAATACTGCCAAGTCGTTCCCGATTCTTGGGTAAACTTTAATGCAAAAACATTTACGTTTCCATTGTCTAAAAAAAATATTACCAATACAATAAAGAAGAAGATAAGTCCTGGAAATGATTGGAACATCAGTCATTTTCATAAAATTTTAGGACCTTACAATACATTTGATAAGGCTCGGGAAGCAGAAAAATCTTGTATTGATATATCCACTTCGGATGATATTCAATTTGCTTCTTTAAATGAACCAATCCAAACATTGCCTCTGAAACGTTTGATAACGAAAAAAAAATTTTATGACGATGAATCGAATAATTACGTGAATGATTGTAAGTTTCAAATTCTATTACAGCAAATTACAAAATATAATATGATAAAACGTAAAGTAGCAAATTGAAAATGAGTAACAAAACTAATTTATTAATATAATTATATACTATATATAAGTATATAATTATAAAGATAAGTCGTAAATCGTTGAAAAAATTAATTTTCTATAAAATATAGGTAATATTTCCAAGAAATATAAATCAAATCAACATCCCCCATCAAATTATAAAATACACGAAGGGATTGGAGCTACATCTACAAATGTTGAACTTGAGAAAAATTCATTACATTTTAGATCAGTGAGTTCGGAATATAATGTGCAGAAGCGGGTGAGTACTACAAATATTAATGATTAATATATAGAGAAAAATAGCGCTAATTAGGACGTGCTTTTATTCAGACATCGATTATTTTTTAATAATTTATAATTGGAATAATCGTAACTATCAATACATAGCTGCAAAATAGACATTTCACACGCATTTCTATGTTGTTCAGTGAAACAAAATAGTAGCATTTGATAAAACCATTTATATATTTATTACAATACGTGGATAATTATTACTTAATTAATAGTATTTTATATTTTTATTTATTTATATGTAAATATAGATGAGAGTTGAATAAATTCGGACAAAAATCGTTATTTAATTTATAAATACATACATAAATATATATTTGTACACACACACGTATATGTTAGATTTACACACACATACAATTTGTATATTAATATACTTTGAATTCCAGGAGGAAGATAAAATTTTATCTGTCAAAAATAATCCATCTAATTGCAATGTCCCTTCACCTTTAAATGAACACCAATTTTCAATTCAAGTTTTTCATGAGGATGAGCAAGATGATGAAGAGATGACGGATGATACTAATTCTCGTGATTATGATCGGAACATCGATAATAAGGAAAATGAGATAATTGGTAATGACAAATTATATAGCGGTATACTTTTTGTCATGGCATATATTATATAAAGTTAGTTGAATAAGTAAATTCAATAATCTGTGAACCTATTTCTATTATTTTATTTAGCGATGAAGGCTCTCCCAATTACAGAAATGAATGTAGACGAGGATATACATGTAATTATAAGTAAGATACATTTTTCTTTCATATAGATGAATACTTTCTTTCATATAGATGAATACTAATTGATTGATCATACTAATGAATACTAAACAGTGAAAATAGTAAATCATTTCTAAAAATTTGTAAATTTTAGTAATGTATTGTTTTAGTATTGTTTTAGTATTGTCATCATATATAATATAGTTATTATTATATTTCCAAAATACTTTTATCGTATATTGTAGTGTACAAAGTTATTAATAACATTAAAAAATTAGTCTCTGAAGATGCTTACAGTAAAATATGAATGATGAAATATAAATAGTTCTTCTTGCAGGTTTTTTATATGAAAAAGTAGATACTTTACATCAAGACTTTCAACAATTCAAAACAGAGATAAAACACGAAGCAGCTAAAAATAACACAAAATTGAAAGAAATAGTTGCTATTTTAAGAGAAAGTTTCCAAAGAAATGAAGAAAATGAAGCAATAACTATGGATTTAATGCCTGAATTTCCAATGACATCCGTCGAGGAATACGTACAATTTAATGAAACATTGAAAAATGATGAAGCAATTCGTAAATGTTTTGTAAGTATATTTTGAATAATGTGCAATTCAATCAGTGATTCATTGACTGATATGAAGAAAGTATTTATATTCATATGTGTGTGTGATATATATATATATATATATCATATATATATATATATATATATCACACACACATATGAATATATTGAATAATAAATACTTTCTTCATATCAGTCAATGAATCACTGATTGAATTGCACATTATATATATATATGTGTGTGTGTGTGTCTGTGTGTGTGTGTGTGTGTGTGTGTGTATGTGTGTGTGTGTGTGTGTGTGTGTATACAGAGTATTTGTTAACTAAAGGATCATATTCAATGGAGGCATAGAGCTGATTAAGATAAACAAAAGTCAAATATCTTTTTGCAAAAATCATAAAAATTACTGAGTAATGCATGAATAAAAATCGTGCATCGCAGCGGTAGTAAGAGGTGCGTTTGGTCGCTGAAGCTCGCATATCGAATCAAGTCGTCTAGCAATAGTTATCGGCGCGCGGCAAGAAGAAGAAAGGATTATTTCTGCACATTTTCCCTTCTGCTTGTCACGTGCCGGTAAGTATCGTTAGATGATTTAACTCGATCTGCGAGCTGCAGAGACCGAACGTGAGTTCTACAACCAATTTTTGTTCATGCATAAATCGGCTATTTTTATAATTTTTACTACATGATATTTGACTTTCTTGTTTATCTTAATCAGTTCTATGCCTCCATTGAATATGATCCCTAAACAAACACTCTATATGTTCATACATATGTGTAGGTGTACAAATACTTTCTTCGTATCCATCAATATATAATTTTATGCCCGATCGAAAACATTGTCGCATATGTGAAAGTAGTTTGGTAGCAGGATTTCATATATCTTGCATCAAATTTATTGTTTACTTGCGATCTACTGTTGATGATATTAGATTGCACTCGAAATCTGCTCACATAGATTTGGCCATATGTATATAGTAATATCGAAATACGAATAATAATAAATAATAAAAGAAAAAAAGTCACGTATACGAACATTAACGTCTATATTAACATTATTCTTTGCAGGAAAAGAAAATAAAGTGTATTGGTGGTGACTCTACACAAAAAATGATCTCCAATATACTCACATATTGCATAACATTTGATGTAGGACACAAGTTGACTTGGACTAGTGCAAAAAATACTATCGCAATCGAAAATACAACTTTTGCAAACATTATAATTAGTACGTATATTTTAACAATTACAAATAAACTATATATATATGTGTCTCTTAATTTTTCCAAATGTTAAATTCTCTTTTATATCATTTTCAAATATAGATACAAAAAATACTTTTAAACATTAGTGATATGTAAGGACTATAACTTGTCATAATGTTTAGAGTACTATTATTTTTGTTTATATAAATAGATATGAATTTTTCCAACCAGATATATCTACTAGTACTAAAAACATATAAATACTATCCACAGGTACTGTCAATCGTACAAAAGGAAATGGACCTGACTGTACCATTGCATTGATTGTCAAGCATGTAAAAAACTGGCTGCAACATGCAGGTGATAAAATGAGATATCGAAACAGAAAAGTGCAACAATAAATTACTCTGTAATTAGTATACAGAGTGTCCGATAATTCCGCTAAAAACCGCGATATAAAAATAGATTAAGTGAAACTGAAAAAACAATTCCTCTATGATTTTGCGAAGAACCATGTAAAATTGTGTTATTAATTAAAGAAATTAGCTAATGATCAATTAATTAATAATTCTATATTTTATGTGGTTCTTCGCAAAATGATATAGGAATTTTTTCTTCAGTTTCACCTAATCTACCTGTACATCGTGTTTCTAAAGCGAGTTACTGCACAGCCTGTATACTTAATAATAAGAAATTAATTAATTATATCTTGCATGGGCGTTGCCAGGAGGAGGCAGAGGAAGACCACGGTCCCCTAAACGTAGAAAAAAATTTATTTTTTTATACGAAGGCGCTGAAGTTTTTTTTTTATTTTTTACCGGCAATAAAGTGATAAAATTTATATAATTTTTTTGCATTGAATGCTTAAATTGAAAGAGGTGGCTTGTGTATGGTCTGCCTGAAAAAAAAATTCTGGCTACGCCCATATCTTAACAAGCAAGTAACGTTTTAACGCAAACAATGTTGTTACGTTATATAATTTATATGAAAACATATTTTATTATAAAACAGTCAAATATAAAGTGTAATAATTATAATATTTAATATATAATTAATAATTATATATTAATAATTAATATATAATTTAATATAATTTTTATATAATAATTATAAATATAATAATTATATATATTTATAAATAAAAAAATATATACACAATATATATATGTATGTGTGTGTGTGTGTTGTAATGTTAATATAATCGTCAATAAATATAATATTAACGCAATGCTATTATTTGTTATTCATTTCTCAATATTTATGTTTTTTAAAATATATTGAAGACTTTTAAAAGATATTTCTTAGACATCTTTGAGATATGTGTAAAAGAAATCTTTTAGATGTCTTTTACATTTCTGCAAGATGTTTTTTAAGACATCTTTTAGATATTTAGAAGATATATAAAAGAAATCTTATTAGAGATCTTTTAATACTCTATAAGATGTCTTTTTACATTTCTGCAAGATGTCTTTAAGACTTCTTCAGGATTACTTAAGGATATCTTCAAGACATCTTTAGATATCTAAAAGATATCTCAAAATGTTGCGTAAGACATCTTTTAGATCCCTAAAAGAAATCTTTTGGGGAAAAAAGTAAGATATCTCAAGACATGGCGAGATATCTTTTAGAAATCTAAAAGACATCTTTTTGGCTATTTGGGTACGCTGCGCTCGAGCAGTATTAATTTATTTAATAATTGTACAATCATGCTAGTGCCCGGAACTCTTTAGAAAACTCTTTTTATGCTCAAAACTATTTGAAAACTCTTGGAAAGGCCAGAACTAAGATTTTGATGTCATCTCAAGTCGATACGCTTATTACTATATTATCATTATCATTAATCTTTTCTTAATTATAATCAATCTTTTTTGCTTTTATGGAGCAGAACTCTTTATAGAACTCTTGTAAAACTGTAAATTTAGCAAAATCTCACAATGTATGGGCGCGGAAATCATGTAGGACAAAGTGAGACGCAGCGTGAAGTTGGCATCTCAATTTGTCCGAAGCGGTTTTTTTGCTTAAATTAGCGAAACTATATGTTTAACCTATCAGGAACTATAGAACTATTAAAAAAGAAGCCAGAACTCTCAATAGATTGTGAGTTTCCACCAAATGAGATACCAACTTCACACACGCGTCTCTCCTCGTATTGCGGCCGTTTTTCCTTCAATGCTCGGCTCAAACGTATCAATTGTAGTCGATAGCGATCTCCCGTGATGGTTTCGTTGGGTTTGAAGAGCTCATAAGTACTGCAATCAGCTGATCCCACCAAATACAGAGCATGAGCTCGGAACCATAGATATTCGGCTTTGCCGTCGATGTTGATGCATGGCCGGGCTTACTCCGCGATTTTCTACGCTTCGGGTTATCGTAGTGTATCCACTTTTCATCGCCAGTCACGATACGATGCAAAAAACTTTTCCTTTTCTGCCGTTGGAGCAGCTGTTCACACGTGAAAAAATGCCGTTCGACGTCTCTTGGCTTCAATTCGTACGGCACCCAATTTCCTTGCTTTTGAATCATTCCTAATGCTTTTAAACGTTTGGCGACTGTTGTGTGATCAACTCTTAATAATTCTGCGTCTGACATGGGTCTTCATTGAGTAATGCTTCCAATTCTTCGTCTTCAAACTTTTTCGGTGCGCCAGAGCGTTCTTTATCTTCAACATCAAAATCATTATTTTTAAAGCGTCTAAACCAATCTCTGCATGTTGTTTCCGACAGAGCATGGTCGCCGTAAGTCTCCACAAGAATTCTATGTGCTTCAGCTGCAGATTTTTTTTGAAAAAAGTAATGCAGTAAAATTCCCCGTAAATATTTTTTTTGCACAAAATTCGACATGTTTAAAGCTATGAAAAAATATGTTGTTTACGCTTCGGCGGAATAACATATACTGTCACTTCGAGCCTAATAGTGGAGCTTCACGTAATTGTTGGCTGTAGTATTACCTGATGCAAAAAGGCTAAGATAACACTATCTGTCGGGAAACAGCGAGAAGTTATTCAAGTCCCCAATATATAATGTATTTATTGTATTTATTTTTTATATTTATTTATTTCTAATATGTTGTATACAATTTGTAATTCTATTTTTATTATATTTCATTTTTGTAATGGTATGTTGAGTGACAATTATATGATAAAATTATATATATTTGTATGACTGTGAGTATGAGTAGCTTATTAATAGAGATAGGTAGGTCCTTCTGCTCCAATCAATTATCTACCTAAAAAAGTCATGTTTTCCTATAAGAAGGCATGCCTTCAGGCAGTAGTGGTTAGTGAGTGGAGATAAGATCGGAAGAAAGATGCGAAATTGTAGCGAAAGCAGAATATCGCATCTGAAAAGAAATGTAGTGGTATGAATGGAATGCTTCTAGGATAACTTCTGTAAGCAGTTTATTATGTATATTATTATTTTATATTGTTATATTTATTTGTAAAGTGTGTATGAATGATTGAATGCTTTTATGATGCGGTTATGCACAAATTATGTGCTTTGCATCACATTTTTTAACCACACAGGATATTTTACATGTTTATATCCAACAGTCCGTAGTCTGTTTAAAGTGGGACGGGAAAATGTTATATAAAGCATTTTGATATGTGAATTACATTATATATATATATATATATATATATATATATATATAATATTTATATCTATATACGTATATATATAATATTTATAATTTAGCAATACATGTAACATAATTCAACATTATAATATTATTATTTTTACTACTTTTTTTCAAATAGTTACTTATTATATTTACTTGTTATATATATTTTGTTATATTTTAATTTTTGTACAACAAAAAACTAATAAAAATAATATGTAATTATATCCTATTTTAATGTAAATAAATGTACAAATGTGTATATTGATAAATATCTTTATGTGTATTATAATATATTTTAATAATAAAATATTAACGTATAATATATTGATTATAATCCTCCTAATAATGTTGTTTGCAATAATATTGTATTGCAAATTAATAACATAAAATGATAAATTTCTGAGCGATGTTGTTAAGTTTAATTGTTATTTACTGTACTTAAAATTACAAGTGAAAACTATTTTAAATTTGTGGAACATTTTTAAGTAGTCTTAAGTAACGTAAATAACATTTAAACTTTACAATATCGCTCAGGAACTTGTAAATTTAATTTTAATATCTATACCCACACAACCCATATGTCTAAAAGACGTCTTAAAGACGTCTTATCCTAGACGTCTTTAAGACGTTAGCAAAAGACGTCTAATTTCGAATGTCTTTAAGACGTTAGCAAAAGACGTCTAATTTCGAATGTCTTTAAGACGTTGCCCAAAAGACGTCTGAAAGACGTCTTACTTCAAATGTCTTTAAGACGTTGTTCAAAAGACGTCTTTTAGATGTCTTATTTGAGACGTCTTCAAGACAATTTGTTTAAGACGTCTTTTAGACTTCTTATTTGAGACGTCTTTAAGACGATTTGTTTAAGACGTCTTTTAGATATCTTATTTGAGACGTCTTTGAGACGATTTGTTTAAGACGTCTTTTAGACTTCTTATTTGAGACGTCTTTAAGACTTTTAAATTATGATGTCATAATGATGTCTTTTTTTAGACGTCTTTTAGACATATGAATTATTACGTCATAATTACGTCTTTTTTAAGACGTCTTAACAACTTTTAAATTATGATGTCATAAAGACGTCTTTTTTCAGACGTATCATTTATTACATAAAAATGACGTCATTTAAGACATTTTAAAGACTTTTGAATTATGACGTAATCATGATATTTTTTTTTTAAAGCCTTCTCAGCAAGCAATCTGTGCGCAGACTGATAACTTTGTGTTCACCAAGTCTCTCTTTCTCACTGGTAAATGATTCTGCTTTTTATTTATTTTTTCAAACTGTCCTTAGAAGTATCAGTAAAATTAATTCAATTTAACATTATTGTATGCTCTTATTCTTGACTGGATCTAAGAGCATAGACTAATCACGGAAAATTTCGATTCAGTAAGAAATGTCGGACACGAAGGAGTGGGGCAAAACATGCACATTGCTTTCCCGATACCAGTGGTGCCATTCTTTAACTCGTTATTGGAGTTAACGACAGTTTCGTTATCGTTGCGCAGCTTTTGTATACAGTAGAAAAGCTGCGCAACGATAACGAAAGTGTCGTTAACTCCAATAACGAGTTACAGAATCCAGCTGCAGTGGTGCGATTCTTTAATTCGTTATTGGAGTTAACGACAGTTTCGTTATCGTTGCGCAGCTTTTGTATACCGTAGAAAAGCTGCGCAACGATAACGAAAGTGTCGTTAACTCCAATAACGAGTTAAAGAATCGCAGGGGCGCTACGAGAGCGCTGAAGAGCAGACAGCAGCGAATGCGAGCAAGCGAGCAAACAAGAGAGAGTGAGAGAAAAGTGCTTATCGACTCGTTGTCTAGGGAAGTCGCTCTTCAATTTTTTTTATAACGTAGTATACATACATTAACCAATTTTTCCCAATGTTGCGTACACGCAACACGAAGTTTATACAGGGTGTTATAAAAGTCCTGGAAGAGTAGAATAACTCGAAAAACATGAGTCCTAGAAAAAATGCGAAGTACTGGATTTTTATGATTTTTTCCTGGCTATCTGACGGTGACCTTTGATTTGACCTTGACAATGACCTTGAAGATCATTTCAAGGTCAGGTCAATTTTTTTAAATGGGACCCCATACTTTTGACCCCAGAAATGAAAAGAGCGGAAAATTTTACGTTCGGATATGACCTTGAACACTGCCAAATTTGACCTCTGAAGGTCATATAAAGGTCTAAGCTCGTTTTAGGCTGAAAACGCGAATATCTTCGAAAATACACCTGATAGGGAGCAATGTTACGCATAAGAATAAGAATGTAGAGGTCAACGAGGGACGTTCAACCGTGACCTTGCCCTTATTCTCAAGGTCATGAGTTAAGATTATTATTAAGGTCAAACCGGACTTTTTTAGGATTGAAAATCCAAACTTTTGACCTAAAAGTGTCAAGATTGAAAAATGTTACGTTCGGACATGACGTTTTCAACCTTGACCTTGTTTTTAAGGTTATGTGTCAGTCATATCAAGGTCAATTAATTTTTTTGGCTGGAAACACATACTTTAACCCCCCTATAATGTGAAGAGTGAGATTTTACGTTACGTACTAGGTCACACTCCGATTGTTGGTAATTCCTCAATATCAGGCGCCATTTTGGATCGGTCATCTTGAATTTGTAAAATCCAACGTAGGATTCGGTTTCAGAAACGACTTCAAAAACTCCTTAAACGAGATCCAATTTTTGTTATTCTTAAATATCGGCCGCTATCTTGAATCGGCCATCTTGAATTTGCAAAATCCGACGTCGGATTCGGTTTTAGCGAGCTCAAAAATCCCAGGATCGGTATCCGAAAAATTTATTCGCCATCGATAAAGTGTATGCTTCAAGGTTTTTATTTGTCTCGATTCTATCAGTGTCAAACAAATAATTGATTGTTTTTAAGTTTTCATCGATTTAACAAGTTTTGATGTCATTCTAATCCGTTTTGAATTATTATCATATTATTATTAACGATCAATGGTACATTATTTATTATTTTTATTTAAAGGTAAAGAAACCGAATTTTTTATACCAAATTTTTGCAAATTTTTTGTTTTCAATTCCAAATGGCTTCTCTTACAGAGCATGAGAAAGTTTCGCTTTTGATGATGAGAGGATGAGGGAATAGACAAAGGTCATATAGTGAAGTGAGATTGCTGTTCAATGAAAACTTTCGTAATGAAGGTGAAGGTAACGTAGAATCTCACTCTTCACATTATGGGGGGGGGGGGGTAAAAGTATGTGTTTTCAGCCTAAAGAAATTAATTGACCTTGATATGACTGACACATAACCTTAAGAACAAGGTCAAGGTTGAAAACGTCATGTCCGAACATAAAATTTCTCAATCTTGACACTTTTAGGTCAAAAGTATGGATTTTCAGTCCTAAAAAAGTCCGGTTTGACCTTAATAATAATCTTAACTCATGACCTTGAGAATAAGGGCAAGGTCACGGTTGAACGTCCCTCGTTGACCTCTACATTCTTATTCTTATGCGTAACATTGCTCCCTATCAGGTGTATTTTCGAAGATATTCGCGTTTTCAGCCTAAAACGAGCTTAGACCTTTATATGACCTTCAGAGGTCAAATTTGGCAGTGTTCAAGGTCATATCCGAACGTAAAATTTTCCGCTCTTTTCATTTCTGGGGTCAAAAGTATGGGGTCCCATTTTAAAAAATTGACCTGACCTTGAAATGATCTTCAAGGTCATTGTCAAGGTCAAATCAAAGGTCACCGTCAGATAGCCAGGAAAAAATCATAAAAATCCAGTACTTCGCATTTTTTCTAGGACTCATATTTTTCGAGTTATTCTGCTCTTCCAGGACTTTTATAACACCCTGTATAATTAATTACTGATGTCAGTAATTATTTTTTTTCACGAAGTGTTAGACTAATTGTGAAATAAGTTCATTTTGACTGCATTTTGTGAAGTTAAACTTCGTGTTGCGTATACACAACATTGGGAAGAAATGGTGGGTTAAGTACGCAACATCGGTGCACCGTCATCAGTGGGATATACATTAGTGATTGATTAGGATTTTTTTGATTAAATATCAGTGATTGATTAAAAATATATACATACATTAAGTACGCAACATCGGTACATCGTCATCATCAGTGGGACATTAGTGATTGGGATATTTTTTAATTAAACATCAGTGATTGATTAAGAAGTAAGTATGATTATTAACAAAAATGATTATTAACAAAAACATGCAAGGAAGTATACGAATTTGCGCAGAAAGAACATTCCTGCTATAGAAAATCTCAAGGACTTCACACCGTCGCGAAAAAAGAAAAAAAGCATCGGTTGTGGTCTATGCATTGCCGGAAAATACAACTTAAGGACTCGGGTATGTTAAAAATTTTATACTATCCCCTCATCTTATTTGCCTCTAATTCGTACGTTTCATTTGACTGAATAGGTGCTAATCACGTGCACAATTTTGCACCTTGTGATCATCCCGGCCGTCAGTGTGATAATTCATGCCCATGTATACAAGCATAAAACTTCTGCGAGAAGTTTTATCAGTGCAGCAGCGAATGCCGGAACAGATTTCCTGAGTGTAAGTGCAAGGCGCAATGCAATACAAAGCAGTGTGCTTGTTATCTGGCTGTTAGGGAATGTGATCCGGATCTTTGCCAAACGTATGGTACAGATTATTTCCAAATCAATTCTGAATCTTGCAAAAATGTCAGCGTGCAACATGGTCTTTATAAGTATCGAAAAATTTAATTTATTAGAGTGAAAATCAGTATAATCTCAATGAGTAGAATTTTTGATTTGAAATATACTTTATACAATTTAAAAGATCAGCAGCGAAGAATGAATTCATCTCGGAATATTGTGGCGAAATTATCAGTCAAGACGAAGCTGACAGGAGGGGAAAAGTATATGATAAATATATGTGTAGTTTCCTTTTTAATCTTAACAATGGTAAGTAGAGATAGATATAGTGGTTAATTAAATGTTGGAAAATAATAAAAATTAAAAGTTTTTAGTCGGTTTCAGATTTTGTTGTAGACGCGACACGGAAAGGGAATAAAATAAAGTTCATTAATCACTCGATAAATCCAAATTGTTATGTGAAAGTAATGATGGTGAACGGTGATCATAGAATAGGTATTTTTGCTAAGAGAGCGATTCAACCTGGTGAAGAATTATTTTTTGACTATAGGTATGTCGCTGTAATGTTTTGTTTAATTTATTAATTGCAAACAATTAAAATCATGCGATAATTTTCAGATATAGACCACGGAACAATTAAAATTCGTCGGTATCGAGCGAGAAATGGAGTTTCTCTAATATATGTATATATATTATATGGACTTTTACACGTATAAATGGTGCATCAAGCGAATACATATAGCTGAAATATTAGAAAGGAAATAAGCACTGCCTGATTTGTATGCCTCTCTATTTTTAATTAAATTTTATATTTTCATTTGTCTGCCCAATTTTGCAAAATTGTAGTATTAGAGATTTTTTGCACATGTAGGTAAAGGAACTTTTTGAAATATGTTCAAGTTTTTTATGGACATCTCGAAACATAAAAATATCAAAGTAAAAATATACGTATACAAGCACAAAACTTCTGCGAGAAATTTTATCAGCAGCGAATGCCAGACCAGATTTTCTGAGTAGGTGCAAGGCGCAATGCAATACAAAGCAGTGTCCTCGTTATCTGCCTGTCAGCGAATATGATCCGGATCTTTGCCAAACGTATGGTGCAGATCATTTCCAAATCAATTATATTATATTATATTATATTATATTATATTATATATATTATATTATATATTATATTATGTTATGTTATATTATATTAAATAAAATTAAATTTTATTATATAAAATTACGATTATTTATTAAAATTACAGTAACCTGTATTACCGACTATTAGATTATAAACGTCTTAAAATTATCTTAAATAAGACGTCGTCTAGACGTCTTAAATTAATGTCTAAAAAACATCTTAAAATAATGTCTAAAAGGCGTTTTAAAATAATATCTAAAAGACGTCTTAAATCGGGACATAAGACGTCTTAAAGACGTCATAAAGGCGTCATTCTGACAACTTTTTAAGACGTCTAAAAAATTTTAAGACATCTTTTAGACGTCATATTGTTGTGTGGGTATGTACCACGCGCGCGCAATATGGTTTAAATATGGCGGCAACCTCCTTACCACTCAGTTTTTAGTTCGTTACTTCCGGGCTGGTGCTCCAGGCGGCGCTGAAAAGCGTTCCCCTTCTCACAAGAGGTGAGTTTGAACCCCCTGGTACACATTGCTTGAGTATAATTAATAAGAGTGGATAATAAACTTTTTGTAATGATCTTGCAGAATGATTTATTCTTATAGATTAATTTAGTTTGTTACCCTCGGAAAATATTGGGATTCTGAATTTTTTCGTGTACAAGGTATATATTATTATACCAGAATATATTTGTATTACTCTGCTATTGTGTAAAATAGACTCTGATCTGCTTCGTTTCATATTCTCGTAAAATTGTGTCCCTGAACATAATGTAGGTATGGCGATAGTAACAGGATGATTCTTTCGAGTGTTTGTACAGTTGTAGCCACGATTGCGTGTTTGTCAGTGTTTCTCTAATGCAACGTGATCGAACGAATGTAATCGCGATATAATCCGTAGGTCCATATTCAAATCACACATTTAACAATTAACGCGATAATAAAATATTTTCAGGGCCAAAGGTATTGTATTTAGAGAATTATAAGTTATAATTGGTAATTATAAACTTATAATTCTAATTATATATATATTATATATATATATAAAAGTTATATAGTACATATTATATATAACTTTATATATTTATATAAAGTTATATATTTATATGTATATCCTCAGTTTTTATATCATCCTACTCTTAAGTTTTACTGTACAAATAAAAAAAAAGAATTGAGTAGTTGTATTTATAATGCTAAATGCAGGATGCGAACCGCAGTCTAAAAGTAATAACGCCGAAATAGGAAAATGTCTGTGTGCATACTAACGGTAAAGTGAAGGGCTCACCGAGCTTGTCCATTTCTTATGACAGTTATGCACATTTTAAACCGACAAAATATTTTTTGCTACGATTTAATTATAATTTAAAATTTAAAAATAACGAAATTATTTTTGCTACGAGTAAAGATAAAAAAGATATGAATCGGGATACATACTTTCTATCGTATTTGCTGTGTGCGTTGTATGTACGTATGCTATCGTAAAGTATGGCGTGAAAAAACAGTTCGTAGTGACGACAAGGTAAAATGCACTTCATCCGCCTCCCGTTCTCATATAGCGTATGCATGTATGTACAATCGTGTCTGTTTACGATACCTACCAATCTCTACTAATCGTAATAATACATTAATCTTCGGCGTTACACATATATATTATTTTACAATCTTACTTGGACGCGTCAATAAGTCGTGTGCATTCGATTTATAACCATGTGACTTCACGCGATTATTAAAAAATTACAGTGTCACGTACGGAATGCTACTATGTGTTTGACATATTGCTACATGATATATCGTTCGCGGCGCATAAACGCGACGTTCGTGTTATTGGGATTTACATTGGGATCGACCTCGACAGAAATCAGCGTATTAGAGGCTCGAAACATTATTATTCTTATGCTAACGCATTTGCGATTATTTATATTTATTTCCCGCAACGTTAACACAATATTCTGGAAGGGTTTTCTTTGTCTTCCTCTCTCTTTCTCTCTCTTTCTCTCTCCCTCTTTTTCTTTCTACTACTCTTTCTTCTGCCCTAGAAAAAATTGAAGAAACTCTTCTTCTTCTGCTGCTTGGTGGATTTCAGGAAGATCTGATCAATGTCCTTGAACACCTTATCGGTAGTTTGTGCGGCGTTGACGTAGTAATGGATTCCTTGCAAAGCGTAATAGTCGACCAACGGTTGAGTCTGCGTGTGATATGTTACTAGGCGTTTCTTCAAAGCCTCCGCATTGTCGTCAGACCTCTTGATCAAAGGTTCTCCGGTGATCTGTGGACAAAAAAAATAGAGAATTATATTTCTATAATGGTCAAGTGATGATGTGCATGAGTGTTTCGAGATGAAATTTGTAATTTATACCGTTATGAAACCATAGGCGTTCCTTGCGTGTGCAGTCTCCGCTAATTATGACTACGCACTATTTTCGGTGCGGATATATTATCGAAGCAATACAAAGCTCAACGAAGGTCAACATGTCACCGGACTTATCTTTCATTATTATTGCCCTCGCGACATGTAATCGCTTCATATTGCATAATTGATCTGTTGCACAAAACATTCTCTTCGTGAAATTTCATCTCTCCGACTATTATGCTGCACATAGAGGTCGAGCCTACATTTTTTATTATGACTTTTCTATAACTTACATCGTCTTTCATATGGACTTTGGGCGGCGCAAATTCCTCGTGGTAGGATCTGCCACTGGCGGGATGTATCAGCCTGCCAGTGATTCTTTTAATCAACATATTGTCGTCAATGCCGAACTCTACCACTGCGTCGAGTTTTGCTTTCCTCTTACTAAGCATGTTGTCAAGCTGTACAAAGAGAAAATTACTCATGAGATAATACTTGAATGACTTACAGTTTATTGCTAGCAAACTGCAAACTCTACAACTTACTTTCTGCGCTTGAGTGACGTTCCTTGGAAAGCCATCGAGCAAGAAGCCTTGTTTACACTCTGGTTTTTCTAAATTGTTCTCGATCATGTTGACTACTAGGTCATCATGAACCAATTTGCCCTCATCCATTACCTTTTTGATTTCAGCACCAAGGGAAGAGCCAGACTGAATTTCAGCTCTGAGCATGTCACCTGTAGACAAGTGACACACACAGTATCTGTCTTTAAACAGTGGAGCCTGAAACAAATACAATCTAGTATAATCCTTATGCCAACGAACACAGTAGAATCTAATACTAAAAACAATTTATATTTGAAATATAACAAATTTGTTCTGTGTTCTCCTTTGAGAGATTTCTAAGAAAGAATAAAAATAAGATATTAATTTCTACAAATAAAACTTGAAAAAAAAATTCAGGAACCAAAATTAAATAATAAGTCTTGATGATACATCAAAAGTTAAGATTGAGTAATGACAGTTTATTCGTTTTTTAAAATTATAGTCAGAAATATTAAAAATGCAGATAAGAATTTTGGGAGTAACTTGTGAAAATATATCTAGATGTTATAGATCCTTGAAACCAACTATTGCATTAATAGCTGACCTCTAAGATTTATTAATATGTATATATCTATATGTTCCTCCTATATTATATCTATATGTAGTATTTAGTATATATCTATTATTAGTCATAGGTAAGACAAGACAACTATGTAGTCAAAATATACCAATTATTATTTTTTTCTTTGAAGATAATTATATAAAAAACCTGCTCACGACATTTGAGACTTTATATAACTCAGCTATGTTATGCTTATGTAGAATCAGGAGACCATTTGTTTTTTGCTTAATTACAAATTCTACAATTTGAAGAATATATGAAAAAGAAACTTGTTATAGCTTTTTAGTTACTTTTTATCTTCACTTCCAAGTCCAAACATATATCTCTCGAATGATTATCAGTATCTCTGGTGTGACTTTGCAGAGTGTTACTAAGCTGCATATGAATGCTCATCATGATTACCTAATTCTATTTTATCAATCAATTTCACTCTATCTAATTAATTACACCTAAAAGAGAAATACAGACCAGAGAATAAAATTAAAGTGAGACCATTGGAATATTAGCTCAAAATATGAGGATGAAAATTAGAAATTCACATGTGTTGGGTGTATGTTGTGTGTGTGTGTGTGTGTGTGTGTGTGTGTGTGTATGTGTGTGTGTGTGTGTGTGTGTGTGTGTGTGTGTGTGGTGTGTGTGTGGTGTGTGTGTGTGTGTGTGTGTGTGTGTGTGTATGTACCTGAGTGCCTTTGCCGCTACCAGGCGGTCCCAGGAGCACAGCATTGACTCCTTTTATCGGTTTCTCGAGCTTCTCCTGCGGCACTGTTTCCAGCCGCGGCGACATATTCGACGTGTCTTTTCAAAACAAATCGAAACAAAAAGCACTTTTACTTTTCTGTGGAAATAACTGTTTCGCTGTGGTTTTCACTTTTCCAGTAAGCTCGTCTAGAGAACCTCATACAGGGGATGGACACTCACTTATATCAGAGAGAAACTTGAGAGTGACCATCAGCGAAGGTTCAGAAATTTTTATGAATTCGACGCGCCCCCTGAGAGAATAGACGTCAACTACGTCGATGTCGCTCGGTAACGAAATGTGTCTGTGATAGTTTGGTTTATATCTGAGCTACTACACAGAATATAGTAAAAATTATATATATATCATCAAGAGGAATCATCCCAGCAAACACAGGCTGCATTCCGATATTCACTGCCAGTACTGAAAATCTATAGTATACGTGACACAAACTATGTATTTTTAGTACTGACAGTGAATTTCGGAACGCAGCCACAATAGGCCTGTTCGTTTTCTCTGCACTGCTGAACTGGTGCAACAAGTTGAAGTGAGAAAACCTACGTTTGTCTCACTTTAACTTAATGCATCAGTTCAGCAATGTAGACAAAACGAACAGGCCTAATATTACATGTAACGTGCATGTTAGTTGTAATTTCCTACTTAACAATATAACTGTTATATAACATATGTTATGTAATAGTTATGAACTAAGATCTTTATCAGTTTTCTTTCAGTATGTATAACAGTCAAGATATGATGAGCAAAATAATTATTCGATAGAATTATAAATAAGATTATCGAATTTGAAATACTGGGCGAAGCCCCTCTTTCACTTATATGTACTGTTTCCTATATTTAAAGTAAATGAAAACTGCTTGTCTACTTCAAATATACTTCAACGTACAATTATAAAACTTTAAAATCAAATATTTCAGAAACTATAAGCGACCCCCATATAATTGTATTAGGAAAAGTCACTCAGAATTTCATCCTTTATAACATATTTCAAAATGAAAAAAATCGGTGAGGTGTACCCTTTTCTATATACAGGGTGTTCCGTAAGTCGAGGTCAATCGCTCGAGAGATGAATGGGGAACCACAAACAAGAAAGAAATACAAACATAGGTCCAAAAATGCGTTGTTTTCGAGTTATCGCCATTTTTATGTTAAAATTTGAAATTGCTTTGCTTTCGAATTTTTTTGGTTTTGGAATTTCGATGGTTTTTATGAGTTTCAAAACGCAACTAAAGTAAAAAAAAAGTTGCGGCAAAGAATAACTAATGGATTTGAAAACATTAGAGAAAATCCGGAAGTGCAACAAAGAGTTCGGGACTCCTTAGAAAGAAGGCTTAGAGCCTGCATTTATGCAGAAGGAGGTCATTTCGAACACCTCATATAATTTTTACGTTCACTCACACACACACACACATATACACGACAAAGAGGGTTTGGAGTCACTACCACAGGAGTGACGAACTGCATCAACGTGATTTTCTTTGATGCCTTTTTTAAAAGTTTAAATATTTCATCGACTCGCGGGATATTTATAATCGGAGTCTCGTCGCGTTAATTAACATGTGCTCCTCCGAGCGGATCGAATGCTCATCGACGGCCACTGTCAGTGCCACGAGCGAATGTCCGGAGCGGACGGGATGCTGAATTGAGAAGCAGGACGAAGGGAACGGGACGCGGGCAACGATACATTATGCGTCTCCAGACGTATCAAATCGTTTATTATACAGGAGACTTTGATACGGCAACATGTATGTAGAGGATTTAATATTTAATATGTACTTTTATTTTTCCTGCTTCCGCCCCCCCCCCCCCCGTTCTTTTTAGACCTTCGGGCATAGTCTGGCATAGAGATAGTAACTGTGGTTGCAGCACGGACATAAACCGCCTGAAAGTGGATGTAGCACGGACTTCCACCACATGCAGATTTTACCACCAAGACCTAAAAGTGGATGTAGCATCGTAGTTCTCCTCTAAAAATGGATGCAGATGGCGCTCATTTCCTGTGCGAAAAATCGGTGTCGCCGAAAACGCCGTGTAGGCCGCTTTCAGCTTCCTCTCTATAATAACATTGTGGTTTGAGTCCCGACTAATGATTAAAATTTTAATCCGGGATTCAAATCACAATTTACTAATTTTCGTAAAATATAGCCAAGACTCAAATTACAATTTACCGACCTTCATAAAATGTAGCCAAGATTCGAACCACAGTTTACCGACCCTTATAAAATACAGCCGAAACTTAAACCACAATTTTCTGTAAACTGTAAAATTTATGCAAGATTCAAACCAGTATTTGTCGAATAAATTTACCAAAGGGGATGAATTTGGGGAATTTGATATTTTTTGAATGTTTAGGCATTATGAATGGAACAATAGGTAAAGTGGTGAATCAAATAAAGTAATTACTTATGTCATATTTAATACTTTTATTTTTTATTGTTTTCTTTTATAATGTTCTGAAAGGCAATACACACATACACACACACGCATACGATGTGTATAATATATAATTCACAATATGATGTTACAAATGTAACGCAATATAAAATCCTAGACAGCACACGGATGTCCATTGGACGTCCGTTATATGTCCATTTTTTTTACAAAAGACGTCCATAGGACGTACGTTTGTCACAACTTCGGACATAGGACGTCCTACAGGTCCGATGTCCAATAAGGACATCCTTGTTACGTCCAATTTATGTCCACGGACGTAAATCGAACATATAGACATAAATTGGACGTGAAACATACATCCATTGGATGTCCGGTGCTGTCTGGGATATAAAACAGTATAACGCACAATATGTACAAAAATTAAAATTATTTAGCATAATGGTTGAGAGATTATTTTCGATAGAAAAAACAATGGATAAAATTCCAGGAACGTGAAGCAAAATAACACAAAAGGAAAAAGTTTGCATTATAACGTACGTTATATTATCTTCGTTATTTTACGTCTGTTTGAAAAACAAAACTTATTTGTATAAATATAAGTTGATAATATGAATGTGATATATAGTAAAATCAAACAAATCAATTACGAAATACATAAGAGTAGACAAATAAGGAAAAAGTCCGTTTATATTTAAACGCGCTTTTATTCTTAATTACTTCTAATATAATTATATTTCTCATTGTTATAACAAAGATGGGATTTTAAAAAAGAACAAATGAACGAAAGGAAAATTTCTTTCGATTGTGCAAATTAATGTATACTATAAATTTAATCTTTAGCCTCTTTTTGATTTTCCAACACACACAACACACATAACACATACACACACATAATAAAAAAGATATATTTTTGCTCATCACTATATATATATGTGTATTAGTATGTAATACGAATTAAAAAACCACTTATTTTTATTTTTACATAATATATTTCAATTGTTAAGTCAAGTTATATATTTGAAGATATTAAGTGTAAATAACAATAAGCAAAATGTTTAAATATATGTATATTTCCGCATGTGTATGTATGTGTGTGTATATATTATTCTTTGGAGAAAATTAAAATACAGCCTTACGTACGTATATCTTTGGACCACGTATTATAATTATATATGTACAAATTTGCGCAATCAGTACTAAATTGTACTAGAAAATTTTATCGAGATTATACTCGTTATAAAAATCATGTGTTTTCATTATTTTGTAGAAGTCAGCTTGATCTCTACAAACATGGTCAAAGCGCGAAAGATATAATGTAAATGAATCGCAACGATAAAAGATATAATGTAAACGCATCGATATTATGACGCGCAACGCATCTTATTTTTTACTTTTTTAATTGGAACGAATTGTTATAGGTAAAACATGCTTAACAATAAATATAAATAAGCGATAGGAACGCATCTCAATAATTGTTTCCTAAACATAATTCCGAATTCGCAATAACTGAACAGCTCTGCTGAAGTGATCCTTTTTCTATGATGGTCTCTCGATATGAGTGGTGGTTGTTGACGTTATAACTGAGGCAAGGTCGCTGCTGGACTGACTAGTGATTGGTTCTAGAGGTGGCACGCTGAAAAAGAAGAAAAGAGAAAAGAAAATTAACGAAACTATATAAGTCTCTATGCGCATAAAAATTAGGTAGTTACTGAATAAAGACTCGAAATATTTGGCAAATTTTTTCGATTCTCACGATCGCATCTCACGATCCGAAAGCAAAAATCATTCTACGATCCTAATAGTCTTTTAGATTGAGTTCACTCGCATTCTGCATTCTTTTATTTGTCAGATAAAATTTATCGGTCTCGGGCTTTTCTATAATTCTATAATTTTTTATAACGCGATTGTGGCGCATTCTAATATTTCAATCAGCATGAGTGTTTTACAAATACAAAGTTTCCATCTGCGTGACAATAAGCCAATAAAATTAACGACGAATACGACATGTTAGAGAGAATCTAAGGCATGACTACAAATCGGACGGGAGTGGTCTTAAATTAAACGCAATAGGTACCTTAGATTTGTCTGCGTGACAGACAGACTAGAGGTGAGAATCAGATGTGAGTTGTGGACTTACGTAAGGGTGGTTTGGCGATTCAACACGGCAGCGGTAGGTAATGCGAGGGGCGAGTGTGCATGCCCTAATTGTGCCGCAGACGGTGTACCTACAGGAAGACAATGTTCTTCGACCCCTCCACCACCCCCACCCCCGCAAGTATACACGTTCAACTGCAACGAGTCCACTGCAACGTCAACAAAAAGAAACGACATCGGTCACGATTACTCTAAGCCGCATACCGTACACTGATTGTGTGTATGTGTGTGTCTCTTGTGCATACTGCCCGCGCACCTTTACTTGTTCGCCTTCAACTTCTCTTTACGCATAATACTCGTGCGCTATTTAATTATTAACTAACTCAGCTACTCAGCTAGTAAGTACTACTCCGGCGACGTCATTTCGATTCACGCGTGTTTTCGGTGACAAGAATCTCTCGTAGGGTTGCCAGACTTGAACGCTGAAGAATCTTGACAAACTTCCAAGAAAGAAGATACTGAAAATATAGTTTGTAAAAATATATATTTTTGACAGATGTATTAATGAATAAGAAATGTTAATTTAAACATTTTAATATTAATTAAGACGCTCACGGTAAAATTTGGACGTCTGGCAACCCTGATTTTTCCTCGTCTCCCTTCGCTTTTTTCGTCCCTATCAATCACATGCGTTCACAACGTGCGAGTCGCGAAGATTATCCGGCGGTTGGGCGCAAACATCACGCCGTTATCCCGACAGGCGATCAGGCATGCGATCTTCATTTAACATTTCGGAGTGTCCCCCAAGGTCTAGCGAGATTCGCGAAGGAGATAAAACGCAGTAAGTGACCACACTTGAAAATAGGCGATTCGCTTCGTCACCTTTGCCGCGTATGTCGCGCAGGTCCAGGCCTCGACAACAAGGTTCGCGTGAGGAATATATCGACCACGTAATCGTCACGGCAAGTAGTCCCCGTCCGCGTCCCACCGCGTCCTTCCTTTCCCCGCCGCGTGTCTCCCTTCGTGCGGCTGTTTTCCTCGGATTAATCCCCGCCGGGGAGAAGTATCCGTCGTTCGCTATCAGAGCACATCCCACGCTTCTGACCAATCCGAGGCACTATCTACGTTCGTGTGTACTCTCGTCGGACCTTCCCTGAGCCCCTCTTCGCGCTGCCGCATATAGCGAGCGATCGTGTGTACTTAGCCGGCCATCGCGATTGACAACGACCGACCGGTCCGCCGGTCGAACGAAGCCCAGACGAGGGGCAGGGATTAGTGACGATTGCGGTTATTCCGCGAAGGATGATATGTACGCAGGACGAACTCCGAGCCTGCGCGCTCAGTGTTGTATATACATATCGATGATAATCGTCGGCGAGGGAGATTTCAAATGCGCCCGCCGATTTCTAGGTGTGATAGTTGGTCTGTTCTTTTCAGCTGCACTGCGGAACTAGTGCAATAAGTTAGAATGAGACAACTATATTTTTTCTCACTTTAACTTATTGCACCAGTTCAGTAGTGCAGCTGAAAAGAACAGACCAATTGCATCACGCATCGGCGTGATGTCTCGCAGCAACGTAGCTGCTCGCAAAACGACGTGAAAATCCTGTTTTATGTTTCGTGTGTGATTTTCCTTCCCCTCTCCTTCTCTCGCGCGTATTTCGTCAGGTACGCGTCTCGGTCAACCCCTGTCCGCGACCTGTAGGTACACCTACTAATCCAGCCACCTCGTTAAACACGGCCGATTGATGAGGATACCAGGGAGGTGTGCGAAGATGGAGGAATATGTAGGAAATGTGATTGGAATGCTGGAAAGAACAAGTTTATTTCTCTTTTTCACTCGTTTTCTTATTTTCTTCTTGTTAACACACTGACTGCCACATATGAGCTGACATACGCGAGGAAGAATCTCTGCTTCCAGCTCGTTAACTCGCATCAGTCTTCGCGGGAGCAATTTGGTTATCGGTTGGATCTAATAATATATATAGTTAATTATAGCAGATCGAATAACGTGCCAATTTTTTGAAAATGATGCGTATATATACAGAGTTCTTCAGCGTGGCAGTCAACGTCTTTAATGTCACTTTCCAATGGTCGGTCTTTCAAAGTGAAATCCTCTTATGATATCTGAGGTACCATAACATCGCTTCTCATCTTCCAAATATAGTTTATACCCTGTATATTCGTTAAAGCAATGGTGAGTTGAGGTGATGGTCTTGACTGAGAGAGTTAGTGAAGATAAACTGTACAATAGAATTGCTCACCGAAGACTCACCGAGTAGATTGGACTTGATATCGGTCTTATGAACGCCACTCGGCCCGGGCAGGTTGCCGCTGAGGTTTGTATGATTCTTTGGTTTCCTCTTGCGCGTCTGTATCCCGTCCTTTTTCATGCTCAGAGGCCTGTTCATCTGTTCGCGCGAGACAAATCGACGGCAATGGTTAACAGATTTTGCGTCGTGCGTAATTCGTATTCTTCGAAAGGCAGGCTGAGGCTTACGATGAGTGCAGCAAGCCTTCAGCCTTCAGCTCCGATCTCGAAAACGTAATTTGAAAAAGGCGTTTGTATCAGGGGTACCAGAAAGATTTTTCGTTTTCATTATAAAACTTTGCATGAAAATAATAAAGTAAAATTCGATCTTAACGAAAGCTGATATACACAATGAAGGAATGCTGTTAATTAACGCAGAATTTAAATTAATTCTGGATTAAAATTAAAAACCCGCACTGTAACCACGGAAATTAAAGGCTTTAAAGTACGAAAAAACTTTCCGGTAGTCCTAATAGATTGTCCGCGAGTAACTTTTAAAGAAACGCTCTCGAGGAGAAAATTACCGCAATTTACTATCGGCATGAAATCACGGATCAGCAAGCTGATTTCGTTTCCGTCGCCGCGTTTTCGAAGTTCCGCGCTCGCGTTCGCGGGCGAGGGATTAAAAGTGGAAAAAGCCAGACGCGACAAACATTTCCTCCGATCGATCCGCGAGACACGCTCGCACGTCGATCCCGGCTTTAATTAAATTTGTTGTTACGATCGTGTGCACAGATCCCGCGATAAACCTCGTCAACGGGCATCTCTTCGAGACGGGGCTGTCTCACGTGCGTAAAAACAATCAAGTCACCGTTATCGCGGCCGATGATCGCAAAAAGGCCGATAACGACGCGCTGACCGACCAGCCGTCGTGAGATTAATGTTAATTAAAAATGATTTACTCCGCCGCGCTGCCGGCCTTTTTTATATCGCGGAAATGGGAGAGACATTGTGCTGCGGTTTCCCGGAACATTCTCGTGATCTCCGCGGCGGGCAAATCTGCTCCTCTCGAAATCCAATTACGCTCCAGGACAATGAGCTATGAGTCACCATCTCTGATTGCACTATTATTAACGTTTATTGAGTCGTTACTTCTTTTCAGTTGCTCGGCCACGCGATCTTTGCAATATATAACGTCAATCGCGATCAAGTATTATTAACTATAAGTATTATTAACTATGAGTCTCTTCAACTTACATTGTGCAGTTTGAAATAAAGGCCGCAGGCGTTGCAGACCGGCTCGCCGCTGTTGTTTCGTCTCCAGAGCGTGGTGTTGCTCGTCTTGCAATTCGCGCATTGCACCCCCGTTCTTCGCACGCCCGTCTGCAACATAAGGGAAGTTTTAATTTCACGCAAATGTAATGCATAAAGCAAAAGGAAAATCGAGCGATCACAAAAGAAATAGGGAAAGCTACCTTCCCAAGGGCTCTGCTCTCTTGTGTGATTAATCGCGAATAATTCTAAACGATATGCAGAGATAAATAATTTATAATAAATTGTATTTATATATATTTTTAATCTTATTTCTCCGGAGAACGCGCGTTATTGTAGTTACCGTACGCGCGTAAAACAATGTCGGAGTACAAGAAGATGATCAGTGACTCAATGATTCTTGGATAGCATTCGTCGTTATCTAACGAAGTTGCAGAATTAAGTCACGCATTTCGCGAGCGATTTACGATTGAAACACACGCCGCTTCGCAAGAGGATTGGTCGTGTCGTATCGCGCGATGACGACGATGACGAGGACGGTGAGGACAACGGGACGATGTTTGAGAAATCAAGACTACGAAAATGGGAGTGCTCGAAGCAAGGAAACTAGAGCAAACAACAGCCGCCAACGAGTCCCGTAGTGATTATTTGCTCGGAAAGAGATAACGTGCCTCTTCCCTCTGTCTTTTGTGGCGGAGGAGGGAAACGGGGAAGAAAAAGAAAAGAGAGAGAAGACGCGAGAACGTACTTAATATCGAAGTCATGTTGCACGTTCCTCCGGTAAGAAATTTATCAAGGTAAATACTGGTGGCCTCGTTTCGGCTATGGTCAAACAAAATTCGTTGACGGTTTAAAAAAAGAAAAAAAAATATATATATATAATATGGACGAGACATATGAGATAAATTGGGAGATACAGGAACGTAAGATACAAAATATAATACACTGGGTATCGCTAAAAAAAAAAAGGAGCAAAAGCGAAAAGAAGAATGATCGATAAAAATCGCGCAATGTACTCTCCTAAGTTCACTGAGGAAGGATCTCACTAAAAACGTATGAGAAGTGGCAATAGTTTCATGAGCGTTTCGAGACTGAACGTTTCACTCAAGTTTAGAGTGAATTCCGACTAGGGGTGAAAATTGGACTCAACTCGGGAGTGAAGAACTCACTCTGTACGAATGAAAAGTCGCTCGAGCGACTCGGTGATGACTTCTGCTTTTCGAACGAAATTTCCGAGTCCGAGAAAAATTTATAGACAAAATAGATTTATAATAATCGTGGCTCGCACAATGTTTACCGGCGTGATCGTCTGCTTCGGCTTGGGGCACCTCATCGGCGGCCTGTTGTGCCCGTTCATCTTGCTGTAGAGTCCGCAGGCATTGCACAGATAATGGCCGGTGCCGTCTCGTCTCCACAATGGCGTCAAACTAGCCGCGCAGTTTGCGCATTCCTTCGGCTCCGTTGTCATGACGGCGCCGTCGAACGTCTCCTCGGGGCCGGACAGGGGAAGGGTAGTCCACGCAGTCGGTGGTCCATTGCCACTCGCAGCGACGCTATAGACGCCGCCCGAGTATATCTGCATGTTAGTCCCCTCGCTGACGGAGATCGCAGTGACGCCAGAATAGCCCTGCACGTATTCTAGAGTTGGGGGCGAAGGCGTGCTGGCTGTCCAGTAAGGATCGCTCGACGGCGGCGGCTTCATGTACTGATAGGACGCTGGGCCCGCGCTGTAGAGCGTTACCTGCGAGCCTGGCGAACCTGGTTGCTCATAGTGTAACGGAAGCGTCCGGGATGCGGCGGATATGGACGATGCCAATGTAGGGTCACCCTTCATGTATGCGTTGGCGGGTGATTCCACCTAACGAGTCGCCGATGTTGCGCGCACGAAAGGTTCAGGGGGGAAAGGAGAAGATTACTTTGGTATTTAAGGTTTCCCCGGAATAGAGAAGTGCTGCATTTAGCTGCCGTAGGTTGGAGCCGCAATTTTTATGAATTAGTCCCCAACATTTCGGACATGGACATTTCAATCCACTTAATTAGCAGAAGAATAACCTCATATGGAAGTATGAGGTAAACTAAAACGACATTCGAGAGATATGAAAGATGAAGATAAAATAAACTGAAATAATCGCGAAACGTGAAGTGTATGAAGATGAAGTGAACCAAAGTACGGGAACAAATGTGCAAAAACGCGGCTCCAACTTGAGGAGATCTCTCTCTCTCTCTCTCTTGGCGAGAAGAATAATTTCAAGATGGTGAAGAGAACATTTCACTATTTACCTCGGTGGACCTCGAGCCCAGCTGTGTCGCCGGCGGATATGCCAATATCACAGAGTCACCCTGCTTGCTGTAGCTATACGTAGACGCCTGCTGGAAATTCTCGTTAGCTGAAAGGTACTGTGTATACTGGACAGGCTGCGTAGATGGAATAGCGACCGTCTCCAGAGTGGTGTACGTGTTGGAGGCTTTGATACTCTCCGCGGCCACGGCGGCCTCGGTGTCGTACTTGACGTCGGCGTAGCTCGTCGCCACGAGTTGCTGTTGCGGTGGTTGCTGTTGAGGCTGTTGCCCGGCGCGGATGCCCTCGATCGGCGGCGAATACGGCGGTGCGGGCGATCCCAGGTGAACCGTGGATCCCGGCTGTGTCACGATCGTCGACGTGTCGTAATCCTCCGTCGTGGCCAATACCGGTGACGCCTGGTATCTGGCATTGTTGTTGCTCGACCCGGACGCTTGGTGATTCTCGTGAGGACTGAATCTTTGGCTATGTGCGGCCTGCTGCGCTCGCCGATGATGATCGGGCACCTGCACGGCGATCACATGGTTCTCCCTTCGCATCTCGTGGCCATCCGAGTAGGCGTAGATGCGGTCCACTTCCATACGGTCGGGCGCGGGCGTCTCGTATCTTCGTGAATGGAAGAGTTCGCGGTTGAGTGATTCTTAAGCGTGACTTGCTTTATAGTAGCCAAAGACTACCGCAAGTATTTAATAATACTGACAGAAATACATCCGAAGCAAATACGTGGATTTATCACCAAAGATGGTTTTAAGTTCTTTTCTCTTCCCATTTATGGTGCAATCCGAAAGATCCTTGAAGGTTCTCTTGAAAGAAAATCATTTGTAAGGATTCTTTACCTGGGCGGTTCCTTGACCGTAAGTGTGATAGTAGCTTCCGGAGTCTCAGAGACCTCGACTTGGACTTGCTGGCCGTTGCTAGTGGCGTAAACAACACGTTGTTGATCCGTCGCTCGTTGCTGCTCGTCCACGCCTGGATGAGGTATCTGAACGTAATGACCCTGCGTCTGATGAGTTTGCTGCTGTTCTTCTTGGTAGCCGCGTTGCTGGGCTTGTTCGTGTTGCTCTCCTGCCCGCTGGTGAAGTCCCCGATGAAGATTTCTGCTGATAGTATTGGAGTCCGGCGATTCCGGATCGACCTCGGAACTATCCTCGATGTGGCCGGCAGTAGTGATGGTCCTCACATGCCTCCTCGTAATGACACTTTGAGGACTGCCGACCATCTGATCTTCCGTCCCGTGAACGTGAGACGAATTGTCATCAGCGTGACCTTCCCACTCCAACTTGATCTCCTGCTTCACTGGCGTCTCTTTCATCGCGCCCTATATGAACCGAGAAGCTAACTTAAGCAGGATGCAATTGTCTAATTGCTCTTCCTGTTCGTTATCTACTGTATTTTTGACTAACGCGGCAGACGCGCGACGAGCGCGCGGCCACGTGCGGAAAGCCGCGGCGGAGGCGCACTGGAATAGTTATCGTGCGCGATAACGGTACAACAACGTGAGCGAAGTCATCCCGGGGATACTCGCTGCCGGATAAGAGAGAGTCGAGATTGGGTGTCTAGGTCGGCAATCGTTCGGAAACTTTTGCCTCGTCCCCGGTAACTTCCGTTCCGGAAGAGCGGCTGTATTTATCTCGTTCGCCTCTCGTTAGTCATCGTAAGTCGAAGAAACTACAAACATTTAATACTCTCATTTTCGTAGAGATAAAGTCTCTGAAGAAGACAAGCGACATGAGACGGACTATTCGCAATACTATTAAGCGCACACCGATCTCGATTCTTCTCGCAGTCGATGAAGAGAACCGAATGAATTATTCGCCCGGAGGGTTGCGGGGTGTGTCCTAATAAATTCACTTTCGAGCGGCAGTATAGACTCGATTACGTTGCTCCGCAAGAGCGACGATCGGGAGGATGGAGTTAACGGTCCTGCGGCCCCGCGAGAGGATGATTAGTCATCCTTTCGAAGGAATCCTTCGGGCACGCGACCGTTTCGGCGATCGTGGGCGAAAACACACACACACACACACACACATATACATACGTCGCAGGTTTAATGAGAAGGGCGGAGAGAGAGAGAGGGAAAGAGGACCGGGGACACACCTCGTTCATCTGAGGAAAAAATGCGAGAGGCACTATTTGCCCTGTCGCGCGTCACACTTCCGCTCGGCAATGTCAAGTTTCGACTTCCGGCGCGACCGCACGCGACGACTCTCTTTTCTTGGCAAAGACCTCGCGCGACTTCCGCCGAATCCCGGATGACGACGGCGACGGTCTTAAGACCGGGAAGTACCCACGTCGCGGCGCGTAAGAAAATTGGAGTAGCACGTTGTCGACGGCGAATCATGAAACACGACGAAATGAAACGACGAGAGATTCCCCTTGACGAGAGGAGCAGAATTTTTCTGACATAAACACAGTTTGAACGTGTGTATTGGATCGGTGCAAGAGATTTGTCGTTTCCCTGTTAAATTCTTGCAGAAAATTAAATAGAGAAATTTACGAAGAATCGATTGTTCCAAATTCTTAGTAAATTTACCGATAGTTAAATCATATGTTCATCTTTGTTTTTCCTTCAATTTAAACGAAGACATAATTCAACTATCAGATAACTTACCAAGGAGTTGGAACAACTTGCCCTAAAAGTCCCCGTTACCGCCGATATTGCTCGGTTTATTCGTAAAAATTATTAATCTTTGGAAACTGCATCACTGCTGTTTCCCATTTTGTTTAATAACAAACACGCGACAAATCTTTCGCACACGCGAACCTCATACTAAATGTTTCGATAGTAGAGATTCCAGCTCGTAAAAGATAAGCAACACGTGTGAGACGAAAGACCGACGAGTCGAAAGACCGATATGATCCTGTTCCATAAAATTCATGCTAATTTTTATCGTAGAAGATTCTCCCCGGGTATGACGACCGATTTTACAATGATCGCGGTTTCTGCTACGGCTGATGCATCAGCCAACACGCCGCTGGAGACACGAGTGCCGCTTTTCTCGAATCGCTACGCGCCTCCGCTACGCTATACTCCTCTAACGCTTCACATTTCACCCGCACAGGACAAACACTCACCGATAGCCTATTCAGTATTGCCGTGTTACGCACGTGTCGCATTTATATCGTTGGGTCTTACACTTTCGTTGGATTGTTAAACTGTGCGTACTTCTTTGAACGCACAATTACCGTAGATAGGGGGCAACCGTACCACGTGCGTGTACGCACCGGAATGCAACCGGTCAGTGAGACAAGCAATGGGAGCTCACAAAAAAAAAATATATATATATATGTAGATAGATAACGATAGATAGATAGATAGATAGATAGATAGAGAGAAAGAGAGAGAGAGAGAGAGAGAGAGAGAGAGAGAGAGAGAGAGAGAGAGAGAACACTCACGCGAGAGACGCTTTACCGGTGGGAAGTGCTTTCCGACTGACGACCGCGGAGAGAGATGGCTCGTCGAGGTATCCCACAAAGACACGTAAAGTGGAAGGAAGGTGGTGGAAACATGTAACCGAGTCGCTGTGATAGATAGGTGCTTCCTATACTACTTGAACTGTATATTGAAGTATTCTCCTTCTCTCTCTCTCTCTCTCTCTCTCTCTCTCTCTCTCTCTCTCTCTCTCTCTCTCTCTCTCTCTCTCTCTCTCTCTGTCTATTTTTCAGTTATCCAAGGCCCATCTTTCTCGACATTTTCGATATACCTGCATTTTACATATCTACTCTGGGTTCATTTTATATATTTATTCTTGATTCATTTTACATATCTATTCTAGGTTCATTTTACATACTAATAAGGGTTCATGAAAAGAAATGCCTGCATTCTTTTCCATTAGTAAAAGTAACTCTAAAAGTGTTTTACAGCTAATCAGGAGGCTTATAAATTTCAAGTCACTTTTAGCGATAACAGAAAGTTCAGAATATGAGCCATAGTCTCCAACGTTGAAAAATGCAAGAGGAACAGAGCAAAGTATGACGGAAAAAGAGAGAGAAAGAGAGAGGGGGGGATGGAAGAAAGAACTATGGAGAGCGGCGACAGGTGATACGCGCAATTAGCAGCAGCAGCAGCTCGTAGCAGAGGGAGCGAGCCGACGGGGCTGGACGGCCCCTCGTAGCTTATTGGTCAATCGACCGTAAGATTCTTCAATTGTTGCTGCTGTTAGCCGCGGCTGTTGCTCCTTCAATCACGAGTTGCTGCGATAAGAATCGACGCGTGCTTCTTGACGGGGAAGTACGAATGTAATGCGCGCAAACGCACTTCCGCTCGTTGTAAGACACATATTCCGCCTCAGCATCAACAATAAAATAACGTTTATAGTTATCTCGGCGGGGTTATAATTGCGCATATTTCCGAGTAATACGGCGAAGGTGATTACGTACATTCGTGCTTGAACCCTCTTACGAAATCGCTCACATCGACTCATACTGTTCTGTTTGCTTTAGCGACGCAGGCGACAAACAAGATGAGAGAATTCTACGGACAAGACGCGTTCGTAATTCTGTCCAGTGCGACTGGGCAAATGACACGCAGCGTGATGCGGGAAGAAAAAGGTCGCGCGGACGGGTCCGTTTATTTGTTCGTTGATAACGAGCCCGGAGATAACGATGTCGAGGGAATAGAGACCATGAGGCTTTCGTCATCGTCGGCCATCGTTGCTAGCACTCAGGGGTCGCCATTTTGTGTGCGCCGGCTTGACCGTAAAGGGATGATTCATCCTGGGCATTTCGATTACAATCAAAAAAAGACGGGGAAATAGGAAACTCTTGTAAGAACGACTTGTAGAAGAAAATACTAGAGACGCATCTTAAAAATATTTTAGAGGTACTTGACATAAAATGCAGGTATTTCTTTTCATGAATCTTACAGGTATATCGAAAATGTCAAAAATAAGCGGGATACTTTCTAGATTTCTTTAAGAGCTAGTTTTCTTTTAAATATTTACGCTGCATGAGTTGTCAAAAAGGTTTCTCTTCCTAATCGATGAAAGTCTTCCACGCAGATACACACACAGACATATGGTTCGTCGAATGAGAAAGTCTACCTTTTTTCTAGGCTAAATACATCGTGGAATTTCATAGGAGAAAAATTCATTCAGATACATCAGGATGTCGTCGGGGAAGATTTGGGATTAACAGGACATCGAAAAGCGTCACGATGATACGAGCTTCTACAATTTTATCGGGGAGTGCTCATGAGGAAGAAGTGCTTTTACAGCCGCGAATCCGTCGACCCATACGATCAGAACACGCGTCTTGCTACGGAAAGAAATGGCCCCTTCTCAAGAACCTCAGTGGACCTTTGGACGCGCGTCGAACCGCCCGGGATGGCGTACGTGACACTGCTGCGCCGTATATTTCTATATCGTCCTGTGATCATGATACGATACCGCGTAAGCGCGCTGCTCGATAGAAATCAAAAGCATACACACGTGTGCGCGTGCATACATACACACACGCACACACACACACACACACACACACACACACACACATACACGCACGCACGCACGCACACGCGCGCACACATACACACATACACACGCGCGCGAGCGAGTTACCTCTCGAAGCAATATTCCGCTGATAAGAGGCGCGCTGTTATGAGCTGTGACAAAAGGAAGAGAGGAGATTGTACGTAATTACGACACGGCGCAAGTTCGGTGGGATGAATCGTAGTTTTGCCCCCTTTTATGACGATTCTTCATCGTCGTCGATTATCGTGCTTCGACAAAAAGTTGCTCCCCCCTTTCTTTTTAACAATTTTTCTCACAACACTGTTAATCTCTCTCTCTCTCTCTCTCTCTCTCTCTCTCTCTCTCTCTCTCTCTCTCTCTCTCTCTCTCTCTCTCTCTAATCTTAACAGTTTAATCTTTACAACTTTAACGAGTGTATTACCCCGAGGACAGAAATAAACTTTTTTCTCCTCTCTTTGCTTTTTTCTTCCCTCTCTGTGATTAAAAAATTATTTATGAGTCATCTGTAGTGTGCGCACATCTTCATAATCCTCTGTGTCCTCAGCTTTCCGCATTGTCTGCTCTCCGTCTGCGCGACTCGCGTTTGTTAATCCGCGACCGCAAATAAGAATTATCTTAAGTTATCCCTCATAAAGTATCGATCGCGTGGGAGCGCCTTGATGCGTTTTCGGTGGAATCGTAAAAGCCGATCTCTGCTTTTTCCTGCTTTTTGTCTTTCTTTCTTTCTTCCTCGCCTTGTATGACGCGGCAACTCGATGTGGCAACGGCTCTCGACACCACCCGGAAATGCATCACGACGCGGGATTAAGTTCGAGATGCGCTAAACCACGTGTGCACAGAGCTCCCG